GTTTAACTCTGCTCCCTATTGTTTTATACTGGTGTGTTTGGAATCTTTTCCTGTTGCATGTCAAGGTAAAGAAGGTTGAAGAGCTGTAGCTGATTCACGTGCTACGTTTTTCTCTCCAGCTTTGGAGAATTTGATGAAGACCTGCGTAGCTGACTGTCTGCCCAGCTTACCTGGGGTCTGGCTGTGCACTACGGAGTTGGGTCTTCCAGCTCCCACGTGTGGCTTCTCAGTCTCCTGCATTCCATCTCTGCTGTTAACACAAGAGCAGGGGTGCTTCCACTGCGTAAATACAGGCTGGCTGAGAAACGGGGATGGCTGAAAATACATCACGGCCTTCAACTGGGAGATCCCCCTGGGCGTTCCCTGCCCAGAACTGTGTTTTGGGGCCCCGCTTCTGTGGGCGCTGGGGCCATACCTCCCCCGGTGCTACGCGTGGAGCTGGGCAGTGCCCCGCAGAGGCACCCCACCATCGCACCCTACCATCGCCTGCTTCCCTCCTGCAGCCGGGACGTGCTCCTGAACCCGCGCCGGGGCAGAGGATCGGACATGCTACGCTGGAGGAGGAAAGCGATATGTAGCCGAAGCCCGTCTTGTATTGAGCGCTCTGACTAGAGTCTCTCGCTCTGTTGCTGGTCCTGCCCTCTTTGCTAAATTGTTGTCAGAGGAGCTGGTGTACCCCAGGGACGCACGTTACAGAAAAAGCCTCGAAGCAGCCGTGGCTGCTGCTCAGACACCGCTGACCGATGGCTCTGCCTCTCTCCGGCAGTCGAGCCCTATCCGTGCCATATTTCTCAGCTGGTGCCTGATGTTCAGGGACCTCGGAGGTTGCGTGAAGTTTAATAAATAATGCTGATGGGTTAATTGTAGCTTGCAGGCTCAGTTGTTGATTAGAGTCATATGGTGTTTTTCCAGTACATCGCAGCCTTAATCTCAACATCCTTGTTTCATATAACCACAACAGATTATGTATCCAGTCTCTTTATTTATTCGTGGTCCTCTGCCCCTGAAATGAACCGCTGTTGTAGGAAAGGAAACGCAATAACTTAACTTTTGTATGCCGTTTGGGGGTGCCTACATTTACATGTTTCCCAGTTGCACTGATGAGGAAACCAATAAATTAGCAATGCAAGGTGAACCCTGCGTCAAGCCACAGATGTAGGATTACTGGATGTCGTTCATCATGTAAACCGGTTATGCCAGAATAAGAGCGATTCCTGTTCTCTTGATATTGTTATGGTTTTAGAATTTCTGTCCAAAATAAACCCGCTATTAATAAAATAACAAAAGCAGTAAGAAAATGCTTTTAAAATTCATGATTCACTGTCTTAACAGGAGCAGAGTGTGAAGGGAAATGCATTCTCTCCAATATACAGTGCTGCCTTTAACATGGCTGCAGTTTCCCCTCTCCTCTTTTACAGGTGAAAGAATAATCGTTACATACATTAATAAGCTTCTATATTACACCTTGAACAATTAGACCTACTTTTATGCCCTAGATGTCACTTTCTTACCCCTTAATAATAAACCTCACTTATCAAATATGCGGTGTTTTCTTAAAATTGATGTTTATGTTTCATTGGTTTTGCTCTTTGCTTTATTCTGTCTTTACAGTGACCAGGAAGGTGGTGTTTTTCCATTATTAGTTTTATTTCTTTCCTTCCTCTATGTGCAATATTTTACTTTCAGATGCTGCAGTTGGAATGTTACAGCCAAAAAGGCTTCATGGGTTTCTTCAAGAACCATAAGAAAGTTCAATTGTAGGCTTTGTGTGAGAAGTAACACCTTTAATTCGGTTCTGAACTTCCCATCAGAGCTACCTGACAGTGCCCTCCTGACTTAAAAATACAGATTTTCACGTAGTATTACTTTCAGCAAATCTTACATACATTTGAAGAAATGTTTTCATCTCTAGATGTAAATGATATGAAAATAAGCATGTTCATGAATTAGTGTGTTCTGGCTCAAAGAAGGAATATGCAGCTCTTTTTTAGGAGAGTAGCTAAAGATTTTATGTCTCGGTGGCTAAGCAAATATTTGGAAGCAAGTTTTAATAAACAAAACGAGTGTTTATGAGCAATTCTGGTTTACTCAAGTCTGTTAAGTTTGCTGTTGAGTTCTCTGTGTGTGTGGTTTTTTGTTTGTTTGGTTTTTTAACAGTTATGGAAACATATCCCCTTCTCTAAGAGATGCGATATGGAACTTGAACAGAAGGGCAGCTGCTGTTCGGTCTCTCCCCCGCATCCCAGCCATGTTATTTTTCACAGCAGCGGGAGGGCACAGTTCTTTAATTCATCAGACGGGGGCAGAGCACTTGTTGTTTCATTTCTGTTTTTCCAGTCTGTAAGGAGGGAAAAGCTACTAGTGTTAGGACCAGGTGATGACACCGGTTCACCTTATTTTTGGCAGTTTTAAGTGTATGAGAACAAAATGCCATTTTACTTTGGTGGGTGTTCTGGAGGCAGTTTTTAGGGGGGGGAGTTTGCCCACTGCTGCGTGCGCTGGTTTCCACCGAGCGCAAAGCAGTGAGCAGCAGGAACGTGTTCTTCAGGTGTAAACCAGTTTCCTGTAAATAGTCTCTGCTGGTTTTTGTTACAATATTATTAAATAGCACCGTCACCTGTTAGAGAAATAGATTGAGTGTGGTTTCTTAACAGTGAGCAAGAGAGAAACTGCTGTTACATGGGCCTCTTTGGGCCCTGGTTTGGGCCATTATCTGAGGATCAGTTATGGGCAGTAACTTTGGAAAAGGTCCCTATATTCGACTAGATGATATTCTGTCTCGTGAGAAAAACAGATAAGCCCGTTTTCCCTTTGTAGATGGGGATTTTAATGTAAAACCTGTAAGATCTGAGAGGGAAATCCTCGCTCACGGTATTGTTTACTCTGAACTTGGTTGCTGAAGGCTGTCAAGAACAAATGGCTTTGAGCTGCGTATTGATGCTGGAAATAGCAACTCAAATGCTCTCTTCCTTGGAGAGCCGGTTAGAGATGCCACCCCCAAGTGAAAGGATTGCGGCGGGTGGCTGGAAGTCTTAGAGTTGGCCTTGGCAGTCATGCTAAGGAGAGCTGCGGTGGCTGTTGTCCGAGCCTGCATCTGGAAAATTAACCCTGGAAGAGGGGAATGGGATCAGAGATGTGTCTGTGAAGTGTACAGCTAGTTGGGAATTTGGGGTGGTCCCGCTGCGTGTCTGCATTGGGTGTAGGACCTCCCCAGGCTCCTTACAGCTGATCCTCCATGCTTTGGCTGCCAGTGGTTCTGCATGCATGAGATCCTAAGCTGGTTTGAGATGATCCAAGGATTGAGTAAGTTTTGTGAGATTGCCTTGCCTTTGGATATGAAGGAGGATAACTTCTCTTTTCAGAGAATCTTTTTGTTGGCTGGCTAAATCCTCATCTCTTCTTCTGGAGAATTCAGCAGCTCTGACTTCCCTAGGATCATACAGAGAAATTAGCATTTAACATTAGTGCTGAAGCAAAGGGAAACATAGCAATTGGCATCTGTGAAGAATTTCAAGTTGACTTTTTTTTTTTTTTAACGGACGTATCCAAATCTCAGAATATGCAGGACAGTTGCTGCTTGCTTAATAGCCCGCTTGAGTAATGTGCTGCAGCCGTGGTCTGGGACTGAGTACAGAGTCTCTAGTTAAATATGTTGAAAGGAGCATTCTTTAGTTCTTTGGTTTGCCCTTAATCCACATGCCTTTAAATGGAAGAGAAAACTTTATTCTAAAAGGTGGCTAGGCCGGAGCCAATGAGAAGGTGGGTGGTGGTGTTCGTTTCTGATATAGCTGTCCCTGCAGCACGTTTGTGTGTTCATTCCCCTTAGTGAACATGCTATATGATAGCTGTGTGACACTAATAGATAAAGTGTTAACTTTCACATGATTCAGAAGGTATTTCAGAGGAGACTTTTTTTCCCCCTCTGGAAAATGAATTAGAAAATGTTTCCAACTTTTATACTTTTATTATAATGCAGCTATGTTCCAGCAAAAGCTCCTGGCAGATAGTTTGCTCATACATTTCCAAATGAAGATGTGTTAAATTTATTTGCTGAAGGAGCTTGTAGCTTGCGCTGTAACCTTGGTCATGGGACTGGATGTAAAAACAGAGGGACAGAAGCCCGCTTAACAGCGGGAAACAAAGTGGAGCTGAAGCTGGAAATGTTATCAGACTGGGAAGGCAAAATGTGTTGAATTACTTCAGAAGTCAGATTTTGGACATGTGATTTTGGACATGTGGCTTCACTCATTGAATCCATGTGTAGTTCACACTGGTTGTGTGAGGTCAGGATGCACCGTAGTTGTATAAAGGGGACAAGATGCCCCAAGAAACTTGCAGTAAAATAGCACAAAAATCCAGGCGAGGTCTGTTTCCCGTGCTTGACCCTCTTTACCTGCTAAACCTGTGCCCTCTCTTCTGTGCCTAGAAAGAGCCATTCCTCCTGCAGGTGGGTGGGAGGCTGAGCTGCCTGCCCTGAAAGAATCAGCAAAATATGCATAGTCTTTTCCAACAGGATAATATCCTGCTAATTCAGTGAGAGGTTTAGGCAAGTACTCAGTGTTCTGTATGAAATGTCGTGTATTTTTTATTTAGAATTAATGATGAACGTAGAGGTTTTGTGGAGGTTTCATTTTCCTGCTCTAAATACGTATTGATCAGGAGTAAGTTCTATGCATTTTTCCACGCTTTGCCTGTTGAAATCTATTGCAGTAACCTTAAACCTATTCATAGCTCTAATTACAGAGGTGCTTTCACAGAATAGCTCAGTTAGATTTTGCCAGAGCATTACTGTAAGATGGATACTGAAACCTTGGTCGACTCGGGTAAAATATCCCAACATGGTACGTTGTCTTCTGATGTGCTGGTGATATTTTCTCTCTAAGAAAACAGCTCCCTTCCACTGCCCCAGCCCGGGGACTGTACGAAGCAACCGTGTATTTCTTAGGAGGTGAAAGCTGAATGCAGGTTTTCTTTCCACTCTGACCTTGTTTCTTTTCCAGGCCCTGGAAGAAGCCCAGAAAGCCATTCAACAGCTCTTTGGTAAAATTAAGGATATTAAAGACAAGGCTGAAAAATCTGAACAAATGGTGAGCAGCAGTTTCTTTCTAGCCTTTGAAAGGGAGGGGGATGCTGACTTTTGCTTCCAGTTCTCATTAAGAAGGGAACATTTTTGTCTTTGGTCCTGCTGGCTGGTTGGCAATTTGCTGTCAAGCGTGTGTTGAACCTGAACCCTTGTCCTTGCGTTAACATGGCTGTAGAGCCAACATGCTCATAGTCCCAAAGGGAGGAGAGAGCCCTTCTTATCTCCTTAAAATTTGTTGCTGTGGCTCGATATTTAACCGGACCCTTGTTTTTTCATTCACTAGGTTAAGGAAATCACACGGGATATCAAGCAGCTGGATCACGCCAAGCGTCATCTGACCACCTCCATCACCACCCTCAATCACCTGCACATGCTGGCGGGGGGTGTGGATTCACTGGAGTAAGTATGTCACTTTTTAGTGGGACTTTGACGCCACTGCTGAGTTCTTAAGTTTGGTGCAGCGCTCTGAACAGGTCTGCAACAGCTGCTTGTTTTTCTGGAGGGAAGTTTGCTTAATAGGTTGCAGTCTTGGTTTTCGCTGGCCAATCCTTCCTGTGCTGCTCTGAGTGACCTGCAACCTATGTTGCTGTATTTAAGGGTTTGCAGCATCGATTGCTTGAATTGCTGTGTTAATCTTTGGTGATAAGGAATGACTCTGGCTTCATTAAAGAGTAAGACAGTCTGTGCAATTAGGTACCCTCGTTAGGGATGTGCTCTTCAGGGATTTGGGGAGCATTTTTATCAGTCTCATGTCTTACACTGGAACGAGATCTCTTTCGGAAAGGTCTACTCTAGTTCTGAGAATGAGTTCAAAGAAGCCTTACAGCTTGTACTGTGTATGAAGTGGGGTTAGATGTTTCTAATAATCCTTTGTGGGTTTTTTAAATGTGCTTGAGGAACACACAGGCTAGGGAAATCCAGTTTTTCGCATATTGCATCTGTGAAGTTGCGAGACCCAGGCACAGCCTGTTCTTGGATTGTAGCAAATTCTGCACGAACACTGGGTTGTTCAGTGTTCAGAATTAAATTTTGCTTAGGCTGCTGTCTCCATTGGAATGATCCTAAAGGATGAAATAAAAATCAACAAACTTGATTTTTTTTTTTCCGTCAGTTCCCTGTGAAAGTTATTAAAAGAAAAGTCAAGGCTAACAGCTCTTCAGCATAACGCTTCTCCTCCCTGTGAAGCTTTAACTCACACTTTGTGTGTGATGACGAATGGCTTAACTCAGGTCATTATAGTGAAGTAACATTTACTGCCTCCGGACCCATACTGGGAAACGGATGCATTTGGTAGTTTACATGTTCTTTGCCAAGTGTTGCTTTTGACATTTATGTCTTTTTGAAGCATTGTTAGATGTGTGCCAGATTGGTTTATTTTAGCATCAGTTAAGTGAAATTTTAATGCTGCATTGGAATGTTAATGAAGAGTTGTGTATTTTAGAAAAATAAATGCCAGTTGGGACCGCATGACCCAGTGGGAATGAGGTAACCTGTGGAATTACCACCCAGGATTTTCATCGAACCTGCCTTTGTGAATCTTTAATTTCCTCTGCAGGGCTATGACCAGGAGGAGACAATATGGGGAAGTTGCCAACCTTCTCCAAGGTGTCGTGAATGTGTTAGAGCACTTCAACAAATACATGGGGATTCCTCAGATTCGACAGCTTTCTGAAAGGTAAAATGATCAAACCCTGAGCACTCGCATGCCTGCTGGGAAGGAAGGTTAGAAAATGCATTAGGCAGAATCAGTTTTTCAAGGATGTAAAGGCTGGACATGGTCCTTTGAGCTTCTTTGCAGCCAAAACAAACAGATTAAAATTGGACACAGTTTGCTCAAATCTTGAGCAGCCTATTCTGTTAAATAGCAGTAATCAGTACGGATGTAATTCATGAATGAGCTGTGCTTCTCATTGACTGGCTTTTAATTTACCTTACCTGGAGTAATCTGGTGGAAGTGCAAATTGGTTTATGTGATCTTCATGCGCAGGTGTTTGCGGTGAACCCTGAGGTGATGCCTTCTCCCACTTTCTTAACCTCAGTGATACAGTTCAGCAGCCTGGCAGGAAGCAGAAATATATGCGTTAACACAGTGGTGCTTGGGGCCCCTTTCTGCCCAGACATGTGCCTTACTGCTGTCGAATTGCTGTCAAACTGCATAGTTGCCCAAGGGTTTAGGCAGGCAGGATTTCTTCTTGTGCGTTTGCCAAACTCGGTTAGTCTGAGCACCTTGAGTTTCTTCTGCCAAAACCTGTTCCTATTGCCCAAGTCTGCTGAGATTTGAGGCTTAGAGCGAATCTTCCCAAAACCACATGCAGCACACCTGACGTCTCTGAACGTTTATGCTGAGCTTCTGTAGTCTTGATTCTCTAACGTGGAGTTACACATCTAAATTTGGTGAGTTTTGGTGCGGCTCCAACATCAAGTGCGCACCGTTCTCGGCGGCAGCAGGTGAAGGCTCAGTGGTGACTGAGCCACCAGGTCTCCTAGGGTCTCGGCTTCATTTGGGACGTGACAGCTGGGTGTCCCTGTTCTAGGGGCCATTGCTGCCCCTGGCCAAAACCTACTCTTCCTGCTTTACAGCAGGCTTTTTTATCTCTTACATCACACACATGATGTTTGCTTAACAGCCTGTAGTAGTGCTGAGCACAGCTCAGAGGTGAAAACAGCCTGTTAATGTTAGGGATGAACCTTCTTAATGATACAGCCGTACCCGATAGTATTTCTTTTCAGTGTGAAAATTGCAAATGTATCACCACCATCCTCTTGATGCCTGAGATGGCTTTGCTCATTACAGAGGTACTTGAAGGAGCCTTTCAGGCACAGTAATTAATTTTTTGGGGGACTCCCTTTGCTAAGACAGCAGCTGGCTGCCTGTGCTGTTTAGTGATGAAAACGGCATTTGAATGATTTATTTGTAATATTTTCATGTAAATCTGTTGGATTTCCTTTATAGTAGAGATATCTCTTCCAGAAAACCCAGGTGGAATCCGTGAGACAGAGGCAAAAGAAAAATGAACCCTAAATCTATAGATGGGGCCTTGTTTTAACAAAGCGTTTGACCATAAGCATGTGCTTAAATGAACATGAACATCAAGGAAATGTAAACATATGTCACTGTTTTTCTGAATTTAGGCTGTTGCCTATTCCAGCCTCATGCTCAGAAAGATAGCTTGATTCATTTTCTTCCAGAGTGGTAATGCCCTTGGGCAGAAACCTGCTGTCACTGGCCATTTTAAGGCCAAATATAATTGAAGCCTTGGTCCAGAATTCTGGCTGGTTTTCCCCTTCTGATGGATGATTATTTAATACTTTTGTAGTTGCTGATAATTGTAGAAAACAATTCATGCTGCTGCTAAAAGGCACAGTGGTTTCAAGTCACGCCAAAGAGACTGGCAAGGACATGGAGGAAAACGTCTTTTGTTTTATTCTCCCTTCAAGATAAGGATCTGAAAAGCTCAAGAAAGTCTGTTCCTCCTATTTTTAGAATTGCCTCGGCAGGGTTTTCCTCCCGGTGTTTACACAGGGAGAGTTGCACCATCTGGTAGCGATAGAAGCGGCTGCTTGTGGGGCGAAAGGAGAGCTGCACCCAGGGTGTTGCTGGGATCTCTTTACTGCTTTGACATCCAGGCAGCAAATTACTGCAGGGAGGTCTACGGCACAGTGATACGTGCTTTGGAGTTTGACTACACGTGTACGTAGTAGGGCCCAATTTGGAGTTGACTTTTCTGTCTCTTTGCTTGGAAATACTTTTGTGATTCATGAAACATCAAAGGAAGCTTGCCTGGCTTCTCGCGGTGCTATTTTTAGAGTGAAATTGCTGGGGTTTGATATCTCATGAATTTGGTTTAATGCTACAAGTGAAGCCTCTTGGCTGTTTGCGAAAGCAAGAAATGCTTTAGTAGATGTTGGCACAGACCTGTGACAGTAACCGAAGTCTATTATATACAATAAGTCTATTATATATGCTGCTAAACAAGCAGATTCTGTTGCTTTCTTTAATAAAGAGCCTCTCTTTCTTGGTGTGAATGGAGTGAAGCCAAATATGAATGGGAAACCATGGGAAGGAAAAGTGCCTGCTCAGTGTTGTTGGATGTGCTCTTTGTCGTGGGGTGTTCAGTTTAGGTTCCTGCTCCTAGACAAACTAACTAAACAAACTAATGATGTGTTTTTAATGTTGCTTTCCACCTGTTCTGTCCCTTTGAAAATACCCAAACAAAATCCCACTGTAAGTATTCATTGGAAACCTGGACTGAACTCTCAGTTAGTTGGCTTCTTGTGCTGGTCCCGTTGAGTATTGATGTAAAAATGTCACAACTCACATCCAAATGTAAATATTTTCCTAATCGTGTTCCTAAAACAACTTCTTATATGGTGCATTGGAAGTTGTTTGTTGTAGTAAATAGGAATATTTTGTTATCTCTCAATCCTCTTCTGTTTTATGTCTGTGGAGGGAGTGTACAGTTAGCGGTCACAAACCCACCCATGAAAGTGGTCGAGAAAGCCTAGCAGATAGTGGAAAAAAGCCTGGAAAGTATTTAGGAGAAAGATGATTATGAGTTTGCCACAGAAAAACAGGCTAGCTCAGCCTCTTTTTATCTCAGCAAGCTGCCAGGCATAGTTTAAGATTTCTGGTAGCTTTGGCTAAAGGAATCGTGGTTTCTAGTAATTTAATGTCATTTGAAACATAACAGCGGGTTTTCTGGTTTTTATTTTTTTAAAGGTGGGGGAAACAGAGAACAAAAGCCACTAATAATAAAACAAAAGTCAGAGAAACAAAAATCACTAATACTCTGGTAACCAAAGGTTTTGGCACACGTGAGCAATGCCAGAAGGCAATTCCCTGCTGCGGCGAGCCTGGACGGCCGCTGTGATACCCCAGCACGCTGCTGGCGGGGAGTCTAGTCAGGGAAAGAAATCCTTATCAAACCGATCTGGGAAGATCCTAAATCTGTTATCAGGGGTTGCTGAGCCTTAGTGGGTAATTCACTTTCTGCAAGTGGTTAAACACAGTCATATACGTGTGCAGAATCGGTCCTTCAGCGGTGAACGCGATTGAAGCCAGCCATGGGGTCGAGGCTTTTACCGCTGCAGTTTCCATTGCGTGAAGATTATTCTGAATTATTGAAAGGCTCACAGCTTTCCATGGGGAGCAATAATCTCTAGTTGCTAAAGCAAGTGCCTTCCTGTGTTCTCTGCCTAAAGCAATCGCTCTGTAAAGGTTTTCATGTTTCTGGTTGCGTGCTCGTGGAAAAAAAACAATTGCGCGTCTCTGTGCGTGCTTGTGTAAAAAGTGATAGTTACTGGGGGGGCAGTGAGGCTCCCCGTCCTTGCTCACACGTACCTAAACCTTTGGCTGCTTTGATGGCTCTGCCCTATCCCTATCTTACAAAATATGAAGGCGGGGGGGAAGGCTAAAACTAATTTTCCCTGTTTGCTTTTGAGAGATTTTTAAGCAGGACAGATTTTTTTTAAAAAAAATACACTTTTAACATCCCAGTTCAGCAAGGCATTCTTGCAAAGTTTCTTAATTTAAGGATATGAGAATCCCCGTTAAGACTATCCTTAAGTACTTTCCTGAATCAGAGCCTAAAACAACAAAGCCTGTGGACAGGGCTTTTTAACTGCTTGACAGTGCCTCTTTTAAATTTGTTGAGTCTTTAGGAATCTGGCCGCTGCTCTTTTCAGTGCTTCCACTGTGCTCGCACTGCAGCTGTTGTCAAATGGGAAGGTCCCTGTAGAAACTCATTCATTTCTGTGACTCCTAATACTAAAGACTTCTTGTTTCTTGATTATTTAAAAGGTAATTTTTTTTCAATCTGTGTTTAATGTCTTTTTTTGCCTTCTTTCTTTCCTCCTTTTTCTGAAGGATCAAAGGCTTTGGTTCTGTGATGCTTTCTCACATGAGTGACTAGTGCTTACTTGTGCAATTTAAGCAGGATTATACCTGTAGTTGTGGCTGCTGGGCTGGGTTCCTCCTTAATGCTTAAATTTCCCACTTCTATTTCGACATGTTAGTGAATCCCTTTTGTTTCACAGTTATGACAGTGTTAACTGGGGATCTATACCTGGAAGAGTAGAGGAGTTTCTAAACGTTCCTGTGAAGCAAGGAGCTTAAGTGAGAATTATGTTTGACATTGCAGGCAGGAAGCTTTTCCAGCAAAAGCCCTATAAATAAATGCTGGATAAGGCAGGTTATACATACAGTTAAATCACAGATATAAAGTTGTATTTCAACCATTGCTTTTAAAGGACTAGAATTTTCTGCATTTGGCACCGTTAATGAATCCAGCCTGTTCTCCAGCATTGTCGGGTCATCTTGCAGTGTTTCGCTACTAATGGGCTCAAATGGGAAGATTAAAGCAGCAGATCATTCCTTGATAAGGTTGAGGAGTCTTAAACAACAAAAACATCCAAAGTCTTCTCCCCACAGTCTGAACAAACATTTTCACAAAAGTAAATGTGGCCACTCTTTCTAACATATCAATCTCAGTGGAAAAATCCACTACTTTGAATGATCAGTTTAGACCTTAAAGTGTTTCCAGTATAATAAAAAGTGATGGAAGAATTCAAGGGCTGCAGAGGGATGTAAGTGCCTAACTGTTTGTTTTGGCTCTTTCTAGTATGTGTAGGCATTTCCATTTCCCTAGAAGTATCAATTAAGCCGTATTGACTTTTATTTCTGGAAATTGGAAGCTTTATTCTCTCAGCTAAATAAAGAGCAAGATTGTGGTTTGTTCAAAACTTTTTCACCCATTTCATACCTTTGCTCTTATGCTTCTTAAGACATGGAGGATTTATAGGATAAAACCACAGCCAACAGCATCACATGGATGCATTTAAAAGTAGGTCAGTGGACCTGGAACCACGAAAGGTTCACAATGAAGGTTGAGACGTTGTGAAGCTTTTTATGTGTTAGAAACGTACTTTCATTGAAATGTGATCAACATGCACGAATGTAAAGATAAATTGATCACATTGACATTAAAGGAACCCTGCTGGTGTCTCAGCTGATTAGCTGGCCCTTATTAGAATACTAAATTGCAGCAGGGCAAGAGCATCTAGGATGTGTTCTGCTACAGCTCAGGGATCAATGTTGTGGAGCTGGAGTTGTCATCCCGGTGTCATTCAGGGAACAAATGCTCTTCCAGTTTTGACATACAGGCCTTCTTAATGTGGATGTTTAACATGCTTTTTTTGTTCCTTAAAAACCTTTGTGTAGCTGTTAGTGTTTCAGTCCACTTTGTAGTAAAGGTTGCAGACAGTGAAACAAAGAAGTTGCTGTACCACCAACAAAGCACTTGCTTCCTCTGTCCTCGTCAGGGTGAAGGCAGCACAGAATGAGTTGGGACAGCAGATCCTGGCTGACTTCGAGGAAGCCTTTCCTTCTCAAGGTACAAAGGTAAAGTTCTCACTTCCCCTTTTCCTCCCATTGAAAAGTGTTGCAGAAAACTGTTCAACATAATTGTCATTGGTTTTAATCTCATTTTACATCTAGATTTGATCTCTCTCTGTTTCAGGAGTTATTTTAGAAAGCAAACGAGTCTCCCAAGCTGTAGGGTGCTAGGTACATTTCTCACTGTTTCTGTCGAGTGAATGTGGGAGAGAAATGACACCCTTCCTCGGTCATGTTGCGCCCATCTATTGCAGTGAGGTCTGCAAGCCAGTTGAGGAATGCCCCGAGCGATTCATGTGTGGCTCGATAGACCAGAGTGGGGTTCCCTTGGCATCTGACCCAGGTTGCTGGTTATTTGTTGGACCCAAAAGGTTTGTGTTGTGTTTAGGGAAAGCCAAGCACAGGCTGTCTGTTGACATGCTGCCACCAAGTTTGTCTGTGGTTTACTCAGACAGCATAGATACAAATCTGGGCTAGGACTAAGGCACCAAATGTGCTTCCCCAAAATTATGCATCCAAATGTTTGCAAACAATATGGGGGGTAGGTGTGAATTTGAATTTACTTCAAAGGAAACACTACTTCTGTCTTCCGAAGTACCAGCTCTGCTGGTTTCTTCATAAAACTAACAAGTACAGAAATGAGGAAACTATTTGGAACAGATCCTTGATGAAGGGCAAATCTGTGTCCACGTGAAGCAGCATCAAAAGAGCATTTTTTAAAAAAAAAAGTTTCCAAATTTCCTGTCTTCTCCACTAACGTCATGGTATGCACCAATACAGACCAGCAGATGCTTTGTGTTGCAAATTGATCGTCTCTAGGCTGCTTTTTTCCCCCCGTTAATTCTGCCTTCAGGTTTGCAGAAAAGGGGTTTGCTTGTCCCACTTGTCAGCCACTTCTCTTAGCTGTTCCTCAGAATACATAGGATGATGAAAGGCTTTGCAGAAGTGATGGGACAACGGTTCTTTCTGTAGATGGAGCTGGCTGCTCTTCTGTGGTAGGGAGCTTCCTGGCTGTTGAGCTATAGAACAACTTTACGGCCAGTGAAATGGAAACAGCTCAACTTTCATCCAACAGAAGAAAGGTGCCTAGTGATAATAAAGAGTAGCAGCAGAAGCATCAAAAAGAGAAGAATAATGGGAAAGGATAAAACCAAGATAACCTGGATGCAGTGCAATTTATAGTCACCCACTCAGCTATTTAACGTGAAATCATTTCTTCCTGTTTATTTTGATAGAGGCCCGGTGGACCCAGCAATGTCCTACGTGATGCGTGTCTAGTCGCCAATGTCCTGGATCCCAGAATCAAACAGGAAATCATCAAGAAATTTATTAAACAACACCTCTCAGAGTATCTGGTCCTTTTCCAGGAAAACCAAGATGTAAGGGCAGCTTAGCAAGCTACATTTGGATTTCACATTTTGCTCTGCTGGCATTCACGACGTTCACATTTCACAGGTTCCTGTGGTGAAATGTTTCTAACGCGAGGGCTCAGAAGCAGTGACTTGCGGGTGTGATGTGGACTGGCTGATGAGTTGGGAGTCAATGTTGTCTCTGCCAGGATGACTTCCTGCCACCTTAGACCTCAGTTTCATATATGAGCACTGGAAATATTTTCCCCTCATCTAGTAAATAAATAAATTCAAGTTAGATGTACTTTCTGCCCTATAAAGGGTTGAAAATTTAAACTCTGAAAATGGCAAACCCAAAAACTTTGAAAAACAACAACGCCTCCCCCCAGACAAACAAAAAAAAACCCCAAAATGCCTAAAAAGGTGGTGGGGGGAAGATTTCCAGGAAGTGGAATAATCTTTGTAGCTAATTTTTAAACTTCCTGTCCTGATGCTAACAGCTTTTTAAAAATTTAATCATCTTGGATTTAAAAAAAAACCAAACCCAAACCAACTTTGGATCAAAATGTATTTTAACAATTTTGAAATTTTGACAGTTTGTGACAAAGAGGAGAAGGTGGCTAAAATGTTTAATCTTAAATAGCAGGTTTCTGTCAAAGTTTTTCTTTTCGATTAATGTTTCTACTTTTTGACCAGAAAGCGCTATTATTGGGGGGGAAATCCCATCCAGCTTATGTTGTAAGAATTCTTGTAGAAGTTTGTGGGTCTGCAGTCCCTAGAGTGTGAAAACCAGCTGAACGTGAGAATACAGGAATTCCTGCGTTGTTATCCCACTGTTGACTTTAACCTCTCTGTCTGCGAAACAAAGAGGGTGGGATCAAATGAATTATTATTGGATTGAGTTTTCAATAGTACCTACATGATTTAGGAGTACTGTTATCCTCATTTTCAACAGAGCTCGCTCTCTTAATTCGCACAAGATAGGGTTTTCAGTCTGGCATGTGTTTAAGCACTTTGAAGAATGACTGTTAGCATTCGAAGCGTTATTAATAGTGGTCAAGTTAGCTTTGATCGATAGCCCAAGCTCCTCCGCGAAACTGCGGCAGCACAGTTAAGCAGTCGGGCTGAATGTTAGCAGCTGCTGCTGTTAAAGATGTTGTTCTCCGTCTTATTCAGGTGGCCTGGCTGGATAAGATTGACAGGCGCTACGCTTGGATAAAGCGTCAGCTGGTGGACTACGAGGAGAAGTACGGGCGCATGTTTCCCCAGGAGTGGTGCATGACGGAGCGCATCGCTGTGGAGTTCTGCCACGTCACAAGGTGAGTGTCTGGGGAGCTCAGGATGCTTCCCGGCCGAGTCACCTTCCTTAAAACGAAAGGTTGGCTGCTTCTTGTGGTTTAACCTGGCGGGCAGCTCAACACCACACAGCCGTTTGCTCACTCCCTGCCTCCCCAGTGGGATGGGGGAGAGAATCGGGGGGTGGGGGGTAAAAGTCATGGGTTGAGATAAAGACAGTTTAATAGGACAGAAAATGAAGGGGAAATAATAATAATAATACAAAAAACCACAAAATAAGTGATGCACAATGCAATCGCTCACCACCTGCCAACTGATACCCAACCAGTTCCCAAGTGGCAGTGCTCTGACCCCCAGCCCTCCAGTTTCTATACTGAGCATGACATCATATGGTATGGAATAGCCCTTTGGGCAGTTTGGGTCAGCTGGTCTGGCCATGCCCTCTCCCAGCTTCTTGTGCCCTTAGCAGAGCATGGGAAGCTGGAAAAGTCCTTGACTGATGTCAGCACTACTTAGCCACAACTAAACCATCAGTGTTATCAACATTATTCTCATACTAAATCCAAAACACAATACTATGCCAGCTACTAGGAAGAAAATTAACTCTATCCCAGCCGAAACTAGGACACTTGTCTTTTGCCAAATTGATCATATATCCATAGGACATTAAAGGCAGTCTTCAAATATCTATGTAGAATTGTCCATGATTAAAAGCAAGCGAAGAGTGAAAACCCTGAGAAGTATCACTAAAACTGCACGTACTGTTGAGAGTGTGAGATGATGTGGAAATCAATTTTCAGTGTAACAAAGGTAGAAGTCAGTAATATTAGAGGCCAAGTGAGAAAAAATGGGAGCTGACTGTGGTGTGACTGCCCTGGACCATGCTCTTTGCCAGCCAGACATGGGGGACCAGAGGAAGGTGCCAGCTTGAGCCCCAGCAGCACCATTGCCTTTGTTCTGGGACCCCAGTCAGAGACGCTGCACTTCCCAAGGGTTGATATCGTGGGCTTTCCTGGCTGCAGTGATGCGCTGGGTGTTAGGAGATGGGGTCCTGTTACCCACAAAGCTCTAAACAACTGTGGTTATGTTTGAAATGTGATCCATAAAGCGGTTTTATGTTAGAGAGCATCTTAGGAATTAGCTTGAATTTGATGATGAAAGTGTCTCTAGGGAAATAGACTGAACTACAATCTTAGGTTTCAGATTTTTCTCTTTCTAGAAAACCACATTTGTTTTTTCTGTTTTTCCCCTCTCTCTTTCAGGGCAGAGCTCGCTAAGATAATGCGCACGAGAGCAAAGGAGATTGAGGTGAAATTGCTTTTGTTTGCCATTCAGAGGACAACCAACTTTGAAGGACTTCTGGCTAAACGGTTCTCAGGTTGCACTCTAGCTGATGGGACAGTGGTAAGGGGATTTCTAAAGAGCAACCCTTTTTAGTCCACAGCTGCTTTGAGAGGAAAAAGCCCCTTCTCACACATAGCCATGGTAATGGGAGACTGCAAAAAGCGTCACCTACAGCCTCCTCTTGCACTGGCAGGTTAGAGTGTTTAGTGTGACGTGCTTAGTGGGTTGTAGTTGGAAAGGTGATTCTTGATCTTGCAGAGTGCAGTAGAGAGGATGGCACAGGGCTTACAAGAAGGAAAGTACACCAATTTGTTTACTTTTTTGGTTTTCCTGGGCCCTGTGCTGTTTGCAACTGAAGCCACATTGCTGTGGAGAACCACAAAGTAATTATGGCATGGTGACTGCATTATAATGTTTGTTCTCTGCATGTCGATGACACATTATAACTACAAGTCCCCTCTTCTTTTAATTTCTAGTTACCACACGTTCACCGCATGGTACCATCTTTCAATCCCACGTTGTCTGTTGGGTTAGTCTTACTTGCAGGGGCGTTAGTAGCTTCTACTTTTCAGTGTGTCATTTGGTAGATTGTAAAGGCAGAGCCAAGAGAAACAGCTCAGTGAATATCTCTGGGGTCATCTCTGCTTTTTCTGTCTGAAATCTCAGCCAAGAGCTCTGCCAGCCAAGTGCCCTGGGAGCACGGAGCCCACGTGTGTCTCAGAAGCCACTGGTTTGAGGTTGTCTTCTCTGTCCAGCTGGTGTCTTGAAGCCTACTTGGATGTGATAATTCAGCCTACGAGGCAAGCCTGCTGGACCTGTTTGTAATTTGCTGTGGATCAGTAGGCACCGCTAATTAAAAAGGGAAGTCCTGTAAGGTTTTCCTCCTGGCTGAATTTAGATCTCAAGAATATGGCTTTATTTTTCTGACAAATTTCATACAAAATTTGCAGCTTTAATTAAATTGGCTTCACTGGGTTGTTATCCCTTTGGAGAAGGGAGGCGCAGAAGCTGCTATAATTGAGAAAAATGGAAGGGGAAGGTGTGTCTTGAAATAAAAGAAAATCTCCTCTGTCCCCCTTTCTGAGCTGCCTGGAGGCTATGACACTCTGGATGTCACCATCTGACCTGTTTTATATACAAAATGAAGGCTATAATTATAAATGGCTATCTGGTCAGTGCACAGTGGGGACAAGCAGTCTGGTGGGAGCCATAATGCCAGATTTACTGCAGCAGCAGAATTTTGGGGCCTGCTGGAGACCACGTGCTTCGGAGTGTGTGGTTTGAAGGAGTGGAAATCTGGCACTGGTCAAAATGCCCCTTCCAGGGACGATTCAGGCAGAGCGGGTGAGTGTGGGCGTGAGAAGAGCAGGTGGTAAGAGGGTGCTGAAGATGAAGCGGAGCGATGGAGAGGGAACCAGACTCTAGCCCTGTAGTAGGAGGGAGTGTGCTCTAACCTCGATGGAGAGGCACTGCCCGGCACTCTTCAGTCACCTCTGTGCTTGGAGAAGACAAACTGCTGTACAGTGCTTTGAAGGGCTTAGTAAAGCAAAACATGGATGCAGCTGTGTGCCAGAGGGGACAAAACAGACTGCTCTCTAAGGAGCTTCCTCTTTTTTAGCAGAAGAAGCCAGAAGTGCCACCTCCCTCCACCAACCCATTTCTGGAGGATGAAACTGGGACAGAGACAGATGAGATTGCGATCGAGAAAAGCGATATGGACAAAGTAAGTCTTTGAAGTTCTCCAGTTGTCAGTGAGGCAGTCTCTGTGTCAAAATCTCTGGTGGTGCCTAAGCTTTTCCCATCACATTGATTTAAAAGGTTTGTTTTCACAGCAATTAATTCAGCGCAGTTTTGATCCTCTGTGCAGCATACAGGCTCCCAGTACGACCGTGGTTTGCTCTGGCTCACTTCACTGAAACCAAAGCAATCTTTATTTCAGTTAATAGTGTGGAGACAATCCTGCCACGTGAGAGTGAGAGCTGGATTCTGTCTAGCCCATGCAGCAACAGCTCAAAAGTAACTACAGGATTTCTGTCAAAGAAAGATGAACTAGCATAGTTGGGTTTTCAGATCCCAGAAGCAGCTCCCACTGCAAGCAGTTGCAATTCATATTTTGCCTTGTCAGCCCAGCAAACAAAGTCTGGAGTCACCAGGCAACTCACTTAACTTTCAAGTGACGCTTTAGATTTTCACTCCAAATACATTACTTCTGGGAATTTTATCTCTATAGTGCTTTTCAGCCGTTACCTCTGCAAAGCAGGCAGCACCTAACCACTTGTAAAAGCACTGGGTTTCCAAAGCCCTCTGCAAACATTAAAGGAGTGAATAGTAAACACAATTGTTTTAATTGGCACCAATATCAAAGCCTGTAAACCCCGTACTTTTTACTCACCAGACGGATGTTTTCTAAGTGTTCAGTTGTAAGCTGCTTGGGGAAGGTACTACCTTCTCTTTGTTCGTGAGTTTACAGCCCTGATGGATGACCAGGGCCCTAGGACCTAGTCAGATGCGTGCTGCTGGGGAGATTGGGGTTGGTAGCTCTCCACCAGCACAGTTTGGTGCACTGCATCCCCTCCAGATTTTCGCATGAGCTGGGCAGCCCTCTGCCTTCCACCCACAGCACAAGTCCTGAAACAGAATGATTAAGCAAAGTTTTGCTCTTTCCATTAAAATACAACTTGGACAGTTGGTATTGAGGTCAAGGGAACTGAGGTTGTTTAGCCTGGAGAAAAGGAGGCTGAGGGGAGACCTTGTCACTCTCTACAACTACCTGAAAGGAGGGTGTAGCGAGGTGAGTGTTGGGCTCTTCTCCCAAGTAACAAGCAATAGGACAAGAGGAAATGGCCTCAAGTTGCGCCAGGGGAAGTTTAGTTTGGATACTAGGAAAAATTTCTTCACCGAAAGGGTTGTCAAGCATTGGAACAGGCTGCCCAGGGAAGTGGTTGAGTCTCCATCCCTGGTGGTATTTACAAGATGTGTAGATGTGGTGCTTAGGGACATGGTTTAGTGGTGGACTTGGCAGTGCTAGGTTTATGGTTGGAGCTGATGATCTTAAAGGTCTTTTCCAACCTAAATGATTCTATGATTCTATTGGCTGGACTTTATCAGTGATCTGGAAGACAGAGATTTGGAACTTGGGGAGACACATGTGTGGTGTATTTTTTGTAAAGAGCTTGCTTTCCCCTATCTATAATGGCTGGGAGAAGGTTGGCTCTGATGTGCAGTGCTGGGATGAGAGGACATCTTTGGAGAAGTCAGTGGTGCTAGAAGGCAGGTGAAGAGGTAATTGCAATAATTGGGCTGCTTAGGGCTGGTTTTATTGAACAGTAGAAAGCACTGCCCTGGCTGGAAGCAGTTTGAGTGCTTCTGAGAAAGGAACTGCTCTGCTCCCTGTAGATGGGGAGGCTGGTACGAAGCCATCCATTGAGCTATCCCTTGAAATGCTGTTTGTGGCGAGGTTGCCCTCTCTGGGTACGTCCTGTGTTAACGCTCACAACGCAGCGCTGGACTGTGCTGCAAGGGTTGCTGCCCCGCAGGCACCTGTCTGCCAAATGGGAGCCCCCTTGGCTCCAATATTTCGGTTTCAAAGAGCAAACAGCTGGTGGTTAATGCTGGTGAGTTCGTGTTGGAGGTCTCATCTTCTGCCATGACTAGCTGAAGAAGAGAAGGGGCAGGAAGTTGAAGATGAAGAGTTTTCACTGATAGCCTTCTTCCAAGACACTAGTCCTGAGAATTCAAGACACTTGGGAGTGTAAGAGGGAGCAAAAGAGTTTGGGGGGGGGAAATCCATGTTAAAAAAGAACCTCTTAGTGATCTAGCAGTTCAATTTAATCTGTTTACTTTGGATAGTAATGAAAGGAAACTGGGCCAGCTGCAGACCTCCTTACTGTGACAACAGTAACCTTTTATTATTTCCATCAAACTCAAGGAGGAAATAGCTTAAACATCTGCAGCTTTTGGACAGTATTGCACACTCAGAAATACAGCTTCACTGCTACTGTTAAAAGATTTAGTATTCTCTCCACCAGACATGCTGGGAGCAGCATGATGCAAAGACACACACGCACACACAGAAAACCAGTCCTACATTAGGAGTTGGCTCTTGCAGCCTGGTAAACCATAAACATCGTGAATCTGCAACCTTGTGTTGGCACTGCCATCCTGGAGACTTGGCTACTGGAAGGTTTCTGTAATTACCGCCTATTGTTTTCCTCCCGGCTCCGATGAGTGTGTGCATCCGGCAGAAATGGGCAGGCACTGGCAAAGGGGCTGGGGTGGAGAATGCTGGGTAATGGCTCTCTCCCAAAGCTGTAAAAACTTACATTCTCCAGTCATGCTCTTAGTGAGAAGGTTAATGAAGCCAGTCTCATAGAGGTGGTCTGGTCTCCATAAAACCGTTTGCTTGCTTTAGGTTTGCAGCCATATGTTAGCATTCATTGTGTCTTTGAGTCTTAATTATTTCTGAGAAATGCTTGCCTTGTCATTCTTTGCCATTTCTGCGAATGACTTTTTGCCACCTCCTCTGTCATTTAGGAGAGCATGTCCTTTAGGGTCTCTTGTTTTGCTTTTCTTATGCTAAAAAAAAAAAAAAGTCAACTGGAAAAAATCATATCTTCATTGGCTGGGAGCTGATCCTGGCTTTTTGCAGAGAGAGGCAAGAATTCCATTCCAGAGTCACTGCAGCCCTCTTTGCAGGCAGTGAAAAATTGTCAGCTTGCTGGCAAGCAACAAGAAAAATTGTCTATTGGGGGAAAAAAAAAAAAAATTAGCTGTAGGGCAAGGATGAACTTAAAGGCCCTGCCCGGCTTGGTACTTAAACAGGCACAAATTTAAGTATATGAGTAGTCCCAGTGGCTTCGGTGAGATGTGCTTGGCCACTGCATAGAGTGCAGAACTAAACTAAAATGAGAGTAAACCAGATGACTCCCAAATGGCATATGTGCTTAATGCTCTAAATGTGATTTTAAAATAGTAGTCTTTGCATCCCCAGAAACATGTTTCACAGTGAAAGCAGTCCTGTAACGTTGCCTGTATAATTCCGGCTCCTCCAGTAATTACGTTGTTTATCTAAATAAAATTCATCCAGATGAAGTCTGTAACTTTGAGTTACTATCCTTAATGTTCTAAAACATAGGGATTTTTCAATGTTGCTTCCAAAGAACTGCTGCATTTCATTTCAGAGGTGACTAGTGGAGTCTTGTTACTGTTTGAAGAGTTGAGCTAGGTTTTATTTACAAACTTCATTAAGATTCTTCTACTGAAATCTGTTTGCATGGAGCAGCCTTCTCTTTAAGGATAAGAATATTTTACAAGTGAAAAGATAATTCCTTGGAATCCTAGCAGCTCTGTAAGAGCAAGGAAAGACTTGGACACACTGACACTGTATATACTATTGATTACATGCCTTTGATTATTTGACAGCAAATTTGTGTGGTTTAATATTTCTAAAGACTTAGATCCTTCTGCGCTGTTGCATTACTATTTCTTCTAGGTCTTACAGGGCAGGTTTGAAACCAACACTCTAAATGTTTTCTTACAGCCAAAGAAGCCAAAGGCCCCTGACAATCCTTTTCATGGCATTGTTTCCAAGTGCTTTGAGCCTCACCTCTACGTCTATATCGAGTCCCAGGACAAGTGAGTAACCAGCATGCTCTTTTGGGTTTGTTTCTTTTGAATGTGTATTACGGTTGCATTGTACTAGGTTCTGTACTCAAGCTGCAGAAAATTAATTTCTTGAGTCTGCTTTCTGATTTCATCAGGAACGGTACTCATGGTTCAAGAAAGTTCGAATGAGTGGGACCTTTGCTTGGGCAAAAATGAGTGTTCAGAGGCTGTGGATGTTGGTTTCATCTGTAATTGCAAAGGCCTGCAGGAATGATGCCCACTGCCTTTCTGCGGAAGAGGCTTAGCGTTTCTGAAATTGCTTCTGTTGCCTCTGCAATTCCCACTGCAGACATATGCCTTTCTTTCATCTCATGTCTTCCACAAATAGTAGGTTTGCTTTTTCTGTAAAATACATATGTGGCTTCGTGGCAGAGGAGTTTCAAGATTTGCTTTATAGAAATAAGTTATTTGAGATCCTTAGATGAAAGCTGCTGTAGATGAGCTGGCTGCAAGATAACATTATCATCGCTCACAGATTGGGGCTTTGGCAGAGGCTTTAATCCCTAGAACCCTTCTTCATCTTTCTCTTTGACTTGCAGCAAAATAACTTGAAGGAAAGGAGCTTTCAGCTTAGAGCTCTGAGAATTTTTTAGAGCTCTCACCACACTTTCTTGTGCACCTCGATTCACACCAGGGTTTAAATAACATCTCTGTAAAAACTGCAGTGCCAAATGGGAGAGGAGATAGTTGGAAAAGGGTTAATACAGTCTTTTAGTGCAGGTTAGTGGCTGGAAAGGAGAAAGAGGTGCCCGCCTCATGTAACTCATCTCTCTATGCCCTTCTATCTTCCAAGGACTTACACATGAGAGAGTGCGTAACTCGAGGCTCGTAGTGTCCTCATTTTGTCCAAACTCCAAGATAGCCATTTTGAAAAAGGTTTCCCGTGTCCGATCAACCTTTTATGCTTAAAATAAATAAATAAAACCTTGCACAATGGACTGTCATGCTGGGCTTAGGTTCCACTCTGCACTATAACAAAGGGAAACAGATATTTCCCCCTGTGCACTCAGCCAGCTGAGCACTAACTTGTTTGAATATTTCTTCCCTTCTCACTGGGGGCCATTTTAATCCCCATTTTGGTAATTCTACCCCACTGCACTCCTAGCCCTTTCAGTTGCTTTTTTTTTTTCCCCTTTTCCTTTACAATTCTGAGATGTTTTATATTAGCTTTATAGCCACAGGCTGCAAGGAGTTCAAAGAAAAACTGCCACAGTATTCCCTACGCTGCCCCTGTCTGCCAAAAACTGCTTTCCTTTATGATTTTCTCTCTTCTTCCCCCTTTGATTGAACTTTTGAGGAATCTGTTGCTGATGTCTGAAAATGAGTTGCTTAGATAATTAATTGTATGTTTGGGCTCTGAATGGTGAGAGTAGTGTGACAGTTTTGTTCATTGTTGCCTTAAGTCTGTGGCAGAAAGCAGCCTGGACCTTTTCCGCTGAAAAATTGTTTCCATACCCATTCAAAGAAACACAGTGCCAAAATCTGTAGCAATTTAAGAGGAGACACCTGAAAGAAAGACTTTAAAGATGCTGCTCTCTCCACCCTTAGCTGCAGTGTAAATATCAGATTTCTTAACAGCAAAGCAGATTTCATTTCTGCCCCCTTGGGATAGTGTCTTTAGCTCTTTGGGGTCTGTTGGAGCAACGGGAGCGTACACGTGTGAGCTAAGCATTTCCGATGGAGTAAAGGAAGAGCTCTGTCAGGTCTGCAGTGTTGAGAGTCTGCAGAGCCATGGTTAAGTGTGCTAAAATGCACGTGTGCGTTCAGATTGTTCGGAAAACTGGCACTTTCTCTTTGCGGTGGGTGTTTGCGGCCTCATGAGCAAAGCCAAAATACCCAGTCCATGGAAAGTATCCTACAAGTGGTCCAGGTGTCTGAATGCCATTGCCCTTCCCCAGTGCCCAACAGATACCAACTGTTCCCATCACTGAACAGACTGACTTGCTAAGCACTGCGTTCTTCTCTCAGCTGCTGGGTTGCCGTCTAGTTCCTCTCGTGATTGCCAGAGATGCAGAAAAAAACACTGAACAGGTTGAGTGAAAGAAAAAAGGCAGAGGAATATAGGAATGAAAGGATTTAAGAACCAAAATAAAATTCTCTTTATAAGATTTAATTTCATATTTTCTCTTGGAGAGTTCTTGCTCCCAATAAGTATGCTGCTGTTAGGAAATACCACATCTGCGCTACTAGAGAATTTGCTTTGAGCTTTTTTGCAGGGTCTATTTAGAGAAAATGTTCATTTTCTGTAGCTCTCCTACCTTCTTCGTGTTTCATCTCCCAGTAGCTTTTTCTGCCAAATTCCTTGTGCTCCCACTGTACCACACAAAGGTTGTTAGCCTTCATATTGTATTGGGGCCAACTGAGACCAATGTGAAAGTCTGATTGACATCAGCCGAGGTGTGCATTAATAATATATTAGTTCCCTTAGTGTACAATATCCTGATGTTTTGCTTGTATCAATCTCACGCTGAGGTAAGAGCAGTCCTCATGGCCTGCCTTTGATGGGCAGTTTGTCCAGGTTAGGACCAGAGCAAGCACGAAGCTCTAGCGCTGCTCTCCCAGCTATTTTGGACAGCTGCATTTGCTCATGCATCCCAGTTGACAAGACCTTGGGGGACCGGGAAAATGTAGATACATTTCACTTTGCCTCGGAGAAGAGGAGAACATGTGGAGTAAGCATAAAGAAACAAAAGCCATTGACATTCCTCACTGTGTCTTGAGACTGAGAGAATGAAAAAAAAAAAAAAGTGGCTGGTGAATGCTAAGAAAGCTCCACTTTGTTGCCCAGATGGAATAAAGCGCAGATGCAGAGGTGGAAATGCAGCTGTTTAATTTAGAGGGACTTTTGACAAGGAGCAAGCCACGTCTGCTTTACTTGAGAACCTGAAGGAATGCTGCAGCTTGCAGCACGTGTGAGCCCTCCTGCAGCAGCCATCTGTTTGGCTCTCCTACAGCTACGGGGGGAGGTATATTTTGCTTCACTGTGGTCCACTACAATCAATGCTTCGGTTCAGCGTTCAATTCCTCGTGCCAGCGTAGAGATTTATCACATCAGTTGAGCAGCCTGATGTTTTTACCGTTCTTGTAGCAAAGCCGAGGAACTGTGTGTGTATGTGGAATCAGAGCTATGTAGAGTACTCAAAGCAGCAAGCAATAAGCATGAAAAAAGGGGCTACTTGCCTTTGCAATAGCCTATGAGCCTAGCTTAAGCCAAAGAGCCTTGCTTCATGATTTAAAGCCCTGATATTGCAAGCATATTTCTGTAGATTAGTTTGGCCCAGTGGATGGTCCACTGTAGGAGCTCATCCGTTTTGGTGCAGCAGTCTAAGTTTATCAGGGAAGAGCCAGGTCACCTTTTCCACTTGTGCAGCATTTTGAATTCTTTGGTAAAGTGGAATCAGAGTGGTTTTTCTCTTTCACAAGATTAATAGAAAGGAAGGACAGAAACTGGGGAGAAGTTTTTGTTGTTGGCGGGTTTTTTCGCCTTTCATTGGCAGAGGTAAGTGAGAATGTGCTGAAGTCTCAGCCGCTGTGCTGGCGGTAAGGCTGTACCCATCCCAGGAGACCCTAGTGCAGTCTCCTTGCACGAACTCTTGTGTTGTGCTGGGTGCCCTGTGAGCTGGCCTAAGATTAGGAGAATATTTGAAGTTGAAACTCTTTGACAGGCTTTTAAAGAAAAGTTCTCATTTCCATGGACAGCATTGCAATTCTGTTAAATAAGTCTGTTCCTGAAAAATAATAATACATTAACTGTAAAGTAATGACTTTTTTTTTTTTTCTTTTTAAAGCTAGTTCAATTTCTTGTGGGAGTTACAGTTCAGGTTCGTTCTTCTGCCATTCTCCTTTGAAGAATTTGGGTTTCTACTTAGGTACCCTGGATCGTGGCATGGCACAGCTGTAACACCCTCAGCAGTGAGAGGGTTGAAGGCTGTGCTGTGGGAAGGGGAGAGCTGGGGCAAGTGGAAGTGGGAGTATAAAACCAGGAACTTCACAACTCCGTTTGGTCAGCGGAGTGCCACTCATTCATCTGAAAGGTCTCTATATTCCTCAAAAGCCAAACGTCCTTGTGGAAGTTTGAGTGTATTTGTGTGTCTGGGGGAGGTTTATTGCTGTAATTGAGCTTGTCTGGCGAAGGTTGCTCCGCTTAGCTGAGCTCCGGTGTCAGGAGGGCTGGTCTTTGTTCCTGATGCGGATGTGCTGTCTCTGGAGGAGCAGGACCAGAGGAACTCCCCAAGATCAGAAGACTCCTTTGGTCCTGTATTGATGATTCTGGCCCTCCGCCACGCTAAAAAGCCTTTTTGTCATGATGTGAAAGGGTGGAGTGAAGTTTATTGTTGCCTAAAGACCAGAGTATTTGAGTAAGGACCAGGTTATAATGAATCACTGGAGACAATAGGAGGGCTTTTTGTGCTTTTAAAAAGAGTTTAAGTAGGAAGCGCACTTTGCGCTCATGCTAAATAAAACTTATTTAAAGGATGTGTGAAGTTGTGCAAAACCAGGTGGTATCCAAATGGGACCAAGAAATGGGGAATGGCATGCCATTTTGAGCACATCCCTTTAAAAGCCATATTCCCCCAGGTCTGCTCCGGAGGCCACTGATATGGGAAGCCCGACTGTTACTTTTGCCAGTGTCAGGAATGAAACTTGAGCATATGCTTTATGCACTTGCATCAAATGTGCTGAACCCAGTCCTGGCAGACTTGCGAGCTTTTATATGTGACTGGAGAACAGATTGAAGCTGCCACTAAAAGTCTTTGAGTACGAAAGGTCGTTACTTATCGGTCCAGTCTGCATTATTGTATGAGGTTTGGGCTGAGAGGGTGGAGATAAGAAAGGGCTGGAATACCTAACTGCTAAAATCTGAATGCATTCGCTGGTGTCACAAGACAGGGCATCTGGTTTTAAGCATTATTTTCTCTCTTCCCTCCATTTCCTCCCCCAACCTACTAAATACCTTTCTCTTGTTCCCCTGCATCAGAAATCTCGGCGAACTGATTGACAGGTTTGTGGCTGACTTCAAGGCTCAAGGTCCCCCCAAACCCAACATGGACGAAGGAGGAGCTGTCCTGCCCAGCTGTGCCGACCTCTTTGTATACTACAAGAAGTGCATGGTGCAGTGCTCCCAGCTCAGCACAGGCGAGCCAATGATAGCCCTCACCACCATATTCCAGAAGTACCTTCGGGAATACGCCTGGAAAATTCTGTCTGGAAACCTGCCCAAGTGAGTTTTGCTTCCCAAATGCTGCAGCGCTGTCTGCTGAGACATTCCAGTGAGGAGCAGATGCTTTGTAAAGATAATAAATACATACTTGTGAACACTTAGGTTTCGCTGTCAAAGAAACCACGTAATGGCGATATGACTACATTTATTTCACAATTTTCTCAAAAGTTTGGTTCGTTGCACTGAGAAACAGCAAGAGACCGAATGGACAGTCACAGCGTTCTTTTTCTTTTAAGGGCCTCTGGAGGATAGCTTCATATTTGGCTTTGATTAGCAGTCAGATTTACAGTTTCTTGAAGTTCCTTTTGAAATGCCAGCCCAAGTCTCTTCAGAGAGGTCTGGCTTTCAGAATTGCATTTCCCCTGCCACTTGGGTAACAAAGTCATACTGTGATTTTTAGCTGCCTTAGCTCATCATTATATATATAATAATTTATAATGAAGGTGGTTTATTTGTGTGATGCTAAAGTGCTTATCTGTAACTCCCTTTGCTCTGTAACATTTTATATATGTATGAATAAAATATGTAGATGTAAATCCAGTGAAAATAAAGGAAATCATTATGGGTTTACCGCAATAAGGGTAATTGTACAGGGTAAAGGAGCTCCTTCAGATATTGCCAACCTTAACTACAGATAATTTTGTGTGCTATTTACCATCTTCAGTTTGTTTCCCTTGTAAACCTGGGAGCAGCAGAATGAATTTCTGAAACCAGTAAAATCTTTTACAGATGGAAGGGGAGAGGGTTACATCCAGACAAGTGGAAAGATAAATTTAATGTGCATTCTCCATCAGACCTCAGTTGCATTCTTTACACGCATTTTTTTGTGTGCTCCATTTTTGCTGTCCAAGATAAATATCACTGTCCTATTTTTTTTTTTAATGGATTTGGATTATAAAGAGTTGAGAGGTAGGGAATTTCCTGAGTCTAAACTGTTCTGAGTCTTTCTTTGTTGATACACAGCCGTTAATCACTGGAAGACGGTGGAAAGAAGCAACATCTTCTGTAATTTACTGTGTTGCTATCACCAGTTTTTAAAACAGGTTACCAAAATTTCAAATGCATATTGACATCTGTTTAGTACTGAGAAGATAAATATGACAAGCTGCCTGATAGTTGCTGAGATTTTTCTGTAATCTTTAATTAGATTTTGAGTAACTGGCAGCGAAGGTGAAGCTAGCTGGGGAAAGCTGTGTTCCACTTGCATCCTAATCTACCATGTTGTGAATGAGCAAATTGTCCTTTGCCTGAAGACCTGATATCAAGTTCTGTTTGTCTTTCTGAAAGGTATTTCTTAACCAAAATAGCAGTTGTGGGTTTGGTGTAGAACGACACTGACCGGTGACGTACAGGACATTGGACTTTGTGGTCATACGGGCTTTTTATGGCATTGAAATCTAGTAGTAGTTTTGCATTGTGTGTGTCTGTACACCTGAAAGCCTTACAGGTTTTGTTTTGTTTTTTTTTTTTTTTCCCCAGGACAACTAGCAGCAGTGGTGGGCTCACCATCACTAGTTTGCTGAAAGAAAAGGAAGGCTCTGAAGTGGCTAAGTTTACTTTAGAAGAGCTCTGCCTCATTTGCAGCATCCTTAGTACTGCAGAGTACTGCTTGGCAACCACCCAGCAGGTGAGCTTTCCTCTACAGCACCTCTGAGAAGGCACCCAGCAGCAGCCCCTCTTCTGTCACAAGATGCTGTGCTGCTCCCCCTTCAGGGGTCGGCTGCTGTGGAGACTGGAAAAGTCAGGAGTACTAAAATATCCATAGTAGGGTCTGCTCCACATAGCATCCCGTTGATTATAGAGTTCTACGTTATTAAATCTACATTTCAAAGCAATAAAAGTATTGATTTTGCTGGTTTTACCTGAGAAAACTCATTTGCTTGTAATCCTGCTTTGCAGCAGCAGTTTTGGATGCTATCCTTTTATGCTTGTTACATAATTTGTTTTGGAGTGGGAAGCAAATTTTTCATAAAAAAAATATTCTTCTCATGGTTCATGATCTCCCTTTTATAAAAACAAGAAAAACAGTAATTCAGAATAGGTTTGGGAAGATGCTTGCATGAAATATCGGGGCACGGTGGAGTGAGGAGAGAAGGTATTTATGCTGATATGCTTTGCAGCCACAGTGCCCCTTACATTCAGGTGCTTTCAAAATGCCGTAGGTTAGGAGATGAGCTGTGATGTTTGGCCGTATCAAGGCCTCTCCACCAGTCAAACTGGCAATTTTCCTCCTCTGCAGTTTGGGCACAGACAGGGTGTTGGAAAACATTTAGCAGGGCAGGTGCCACGGTGTTAAGCTAGTACATTAGCGTGTCATGCTAGAGTTACATACGTGACCTTGGAGTTACTACTTTGAGGATGCAGTGCCACCACAGCCCGTCCTGGCAGATCAAGATGTCTAGGGTGTCCGACAAGGAGAGATTTCTGTTGTTCACAGGCTGAGTTTTGGATATAATCTGGGCACAGATTAGGTTTTAAGCAGCTGACTTTTCCAGGACATAAGTTTTCAAGACTGGTCATTTCAAGTAAGAAATCTGATCTTTCTGTTGCTTGTTTTGTTTCCTAACAGTTGGAAGAGAAACTCAAAGAAAAAGTGGATGCAAGTCTAGTGGAGAGAATCAACCTGACGGGAGAGATGGACACTTTCAGCATGTATGTTCAGCAGATGCATCCTCCCAGAATATATCAAACATCCTAGTTTGTCAGCCAGATGGTGCTGGAGTAATACAAGCCCAAGATCCCAGTGTCGTAGGGCCCAGCCAGCAGCAGGACCCACCCAGATACGCAGCCTAGGCATAGGCATTTCCCTGGTGAAGGCATGGTCATCCTTTGGCTAGTCCAAGAGCAGCAGTAGTACAGACTTCAGATGTAGTTGTTCCCCATCGTCCTAGCCAAAGGAACAAGAGCACTGGAAAGGGGAAAGGAAATAGTGAGTTTCCATTTGAAACATCGTTTGCATCTTGGCAGCTCTGTGAGGTGGCTGTTACATTTCAAGAAAGGAAGCTATTTCGGTACATTCCTTCCTGCTTTAACTTCCCACTGTTAATCAGCAGCCTTGTCAGTATGATCAAACCCCATTTCAGATGACATAAAAGACTGATCCAATCTTATATTTGGGGATTATAATTGAGAGAAGATTATCATTCATTTAAATAATTTTTCATGTAACAATGCTAAAAATACTCCCCTCTAACATCCTCTCCTCTCCACCACTGACAAACAGATTGAGTATTTTTTGAGAGAAGGAAATTGAGGCAAAAAAATAATTGTTTTGCCTCACAAAGAAAACCTTGGCAAAGCTGGGAAAATAATCCCTATCACCAGCTCCCCTTCTCCGTAAAACTTAAGATTCAGCCCAGATAGCAGTAAGATTTTTTTCAGAAGACTTCCTTCCTGTGATTCCTCCTCTCTTCCTCCAGTGGGCGGGATCCCACTGAATCTCCATCCAGGTATTTCACATGGTCTCGGGCTCCATTCCAGGCTGCAGAGACTCCCTTCCCTTTAGATATTTCTGAGACCTTTTTACGAGTGAATCCCTGACCGAAAGCTGGGGTCACTGTGTCCGCTAAGCCAAAGCAAGCAGGGTAGCTGGGGAATAGAAATAAAATATGCCATGCAATGGGATTTTCTTAACGTGGACAAGTCAAGGGCGAGTTTTGCGTTTTCTCGTGACCTGTCCGGCAGGAGTCAGCTACCTTGCGTCGCTGCTCAGTTTCCATGGCAGCTGCCTCGCAAGGTGGTTGGTCATAGGTGGCCAATATGATGTGTTTTGGAAATTGTTTAAATGTATAGTTCACATTTGCTGGTTTGGACAGCTTTAAAGTTAAACTGACAGGCCTGATGTATCTTGTAACAAAGGCTTTTTAATTGACTTTCAGCCTGTTCCAGTATAGTGCTTTGTCCAGTCTTCTGTCAGTGTAAGTCATAGTTATAAACCTCTCTTAGGCGTTTGCTTATTCAACATCAAACAAGTTGTTTCTTCTGGGATTTGATGTCTTGTTAGGCATGGTCATAAAGAAAGTGATAAAACGGTGCTGCTTACACACCCTGGAAAGTGTTTCCTCCTCCGCAGAAAGGAGAGTGCAAACCCACCCCAAATGTGTATAAAGCGATCAACTTGGCGGGGCAGAGTTGCCCCTGGGTGGCTAAGCATTTTCTTTAGGAAATATGGGAAAGAGAATGAGCTCTTGTTGAAACTCAACAGAAGGAAAATTATTGTCGTGTAGATCCAGAAATCCGTGATTCCCACCCCCCCTGCCCTACTGAGCCCTTGTGAGATTATGGGCAGCATTCAGAGACCTCTTGAAGGTCTGAAGTGTTGAGCTTACCAGGCTCTCTTAGAACCATACTGCTCATTTATGGCCTCGGCTTCCCCGTCTGCCAGCTTCTGTGTATCTGCAGGGATTGTACGGGCATTCAGTAACTGCCCCGAAGTACTGTTACGTGCTGCCTGGGGCAAAGGTTTGAAGTGGCTTCTAGCAGAACCAGGATCCAAACCCTCTTGGTGTGTCGTGATGTTTTGTGTTTGCAACACGCTTCTTGCTGCACCATTACCCCTCTATAGCAGGTGTATTTATTTTGAAGTGTAGATGAATAGGTTTCTCTCCCTATTTGCAATCTTGTGGTTTTCAGGCAAGAACCTGTACTTGGTGACCCAGCTTCAGACAGACTCCTGACGTGTGGAGACTCGTGATGAAGTCACTTTCCTCCCACTGAGAGAGTTGTGTTTCATTTTGGTGCTAAACCACAGCTCTTTCCTACAAGTCACTGCCAGCGGGCGCGCTGCAGGAGTCAGCTGTGCCCAAGAGATGGTTATTTCAGTCCGGCTCCCATGGCATCGCTTGAGCTGGTGGTATCCCCCAAGGGAGTAAATCCTGCAGTGCCCAGCAGAAGCAGAGGCACCAGCAGAAACGGTCACAGGCTTTTTTTATCCCAATGCAAGTTTCAGATCATGTAACTTGAAGCCAGCGGTCACTTCATCTCCCATATTAATTTTTCCAACTAATTTTGGATGAGTTTGCCTTTACAAACAAATTAATTGCTCTGAAGGAACGGTCTTTTACTTGGCATCCTGTTCCAGTCTTTATGTGCTACAACTCTAGGAAAGGGAATAGACAACCTCTGTGGGCTGCGGTGAAGAACAACACCCAGATCCCAGCAGCAGTTATGAGTGGGTGATCATAGAATCATAGAACGCTTTGGGTTGGAAGGGACCTTTAGAGGTCATCTAGCCCAACCCCCTGCCGTGAGCAGGGACAGCTTTAACCAGATCAGGTTGCTCAGAGCCCCATCCAACCTGACCTGCAATGTTGCCAGGGATGGGGCCTCTACCACCTCTCTGGGCAACCTGTGCCAGTGCTTGACCACCCACATTGTAAAAAATTTCTTTGATGATACCGTATCTTGATGAGGACACTTAAAAACATTTTGAAGAGTGAACTCCGGGGTAGTACCCAGAACTGCACAAAGAAGACGAGGGGGAGGAAAGATGGTTTGAGGAAGCACTGGTCAGATTTCTTACAGATCTGTGATTCCCATCTGTGCTAGCATCGTGAGAAAGAGCAAAAGTAAAATACAGTTCTTATGTATGTAATCCCGAAGTTGTAAACAGGCATCTGTGGCAGATTTAAAGTTTACACTGTTCTTAAAAACTGTACTTACTTAGCGAAACACAGTGCCTTACTACTTCTAGCAGTAGTTGTCTGTAACGCGAGTACTGGGTTACAAGCCCTTGAGGGTGGTCCCAGTTGCCGCACTGTTTCTCGGCTGTTTTAGGAACAGTTGCACCTTTATGCACATCGTAATATGGTGGCATCACATATGTCTTCAAGTAATATCACACTGTTTAATAAAAAAAAAAAGGGGGGGGAATGTGCTGGAGGTGGGTGTGGGGGGAGGGAGGGAAATGTTTGACTAATGTGTCCTTTAGTCTGGTATATGTCTCTGAGAAACTCAAACAATGGATGGCAGCAATCCTAGACATAGTGTAAATAAGACATCTGCCTTGATCTTCTCAAATGGGAGACACATTCGGAACTCATACAGATGTACTTTTTTAAAATCCTTTTTGCAAGTTTCTGTGAGTAGTAGAATATTGACTGTGAATAAGTGGAGAGATGATAAAATGTTAGGTTTATGCAGACTGGATTAAATTTGAAGCCGAATCCCAGTCTGGGCTCGGTACTCAGGGGTTTCTCCTCTTCCTGATGGGTGGGCTGGGGGGTTACTCCATCTGACACCTTTGATCTTCAGCCCCTTCTATGTGTCAAAACAGAGAAAGGTCAACTATAAATATGTCCTCTCTACACTAAAGCCCGCTGTGTAGCTCCACAATGAAGAGCATGCAGAACTTCCCGGCTTCTTTTAAGTACAAGTTTTAGCCATGTGTATTCACAGCATAATGTTACCGTCAGCTAGTAGATGATTTTCCTCCTTTCGCAGTCAAATATGCCAGTTCTGGCGCTGTGTTGCTGAGTCCTATTCTAAAATTCGTGCTTGATCTTTTTTGCAGTGTGATCTCCAACAGCATACAGCTGTTAGTGCAGGACCTGGATGCAGCCTGTGACCCTGCCCTGACTGCTATGAGCAAGGTAGGGCATGGATTTGTTTTGGGAAGAGGTAGTCTTAAGATCCATGTGGAGTTCTTGTTTGCTTTGATTGCTTGATTTCGTTATTGACATATCCTTTTACGCTGCCCTGAGACTTAGCCATATATTGATTTCTTCTTGCTGCTTAGAGCAGCAATTGCTGTAGTTATAAATATATCCTTTGCTCAAAAACCTCCTATCGTTCAGATTAGAGCTTTCGTTCTTTTGCAGCACGTTGAAACACATGGATAATAAAATACTTTCTGTAAGTATCTGAAGCTTTCTCTTTCCACTCCTAATGCCAGTGAGAGTCTTTAAAATTGGGAAAACTTTTGTTAGCATAAAATTTCAAATACACCTTCTCGTTTGCTGTTCTCTTTGTGTTCTTTGACAAGGAGTTTTACTAGCCTGCTTGTTTGTGGCTGTTAAATGGAGGTACTCAGAGGGTAATATGGAATTGAGATTGAGCCCTATTGCTTCTGTGATCCTCTCAAGGACATATGGAGCCATTCCTAGAGAGGCCCATGTGATTAGTGCTTAAGGATTTTGTTGCAGTTACACTGCTGGCTTTTATACGTTTGAAATGCAGAGCTGTGTTTTCTTGCCAAAGTATTGTGAAAACCCAGACTGCTTTAGACAGAGGTGAAGACAACAAAAGTGGATTGAACTATTTTTTTAATTAGAAATATTAAACATAGAGCTCCATTTTTGTAGGATCAACACACTGTCTCACTGCCATGAATTTTAATAGCTTTCTGCTTTATGATGTATTCCAGCTGTAACTAGCCCCGCCACCCCCGGCTAATATTTGAAGTGGAATGCAGCTGGTAATAGAGCTTGTACGTGTTCCAAATGAAAAGAGGATTTTTTTTGCCCAGTAAAATAACGCCTTTAGGAAGGGCTCAGCACTTCAGGTGTTGTGTGTGTGACATGACAGTTCCTTAGATCTCCCTCTGAACCTACATAGCGTAGTAGTATTTGACTCGCTTAGCTCTGACTGTTTGTACCCAAGTAAACCACAACCTTGAGAAAGCAGCAGCTGGTAGGCCATTTATTTTTGTCTTTGGAACACTGGTAAAATGCAGCGCATGTGATGGGACTGATGATATATAAACAAGCTAAGTGTTATGAAATTAGCTAAATAAATACTTGTCACTTGTGCACACATTCCGCTATTTGCATCAGACAGAGTTGCTTTTATGTGATTTTTTTTACTAGACCTGGGTTTGGTGCAAGAGTTTTTTTTCCTTCACCTTCCTCCTCCCTTTCCTTCAGGGCTGGGTTATTACCCTGACAGTAGAATAAGAAATGCATATGGTTATTTAAACGCAGAGTTAGTATTTGGACGTGTAAAATTTAAAGGAATAAAGACTGTGTGCCTGATCCATTCCAATTTTCCTGTACTGGGAAGGCATGTCTATCTCAAGACCCCTACTCCATTAGGGCTTTTCCTTTGTTTAGCTGCTTTTCATGTACTTCACTCTGGTGTCCTCCAAGATTTAACATTCCCAGTCCTTTGTTGGAGTCTGACTTCTTTTTTTCTTGCAAAAATGTTCGGTAACTATAGAGGTAAATTAAGAAATACTTAAACCTCTAAACCCACTTTGGCTGCAGGCCACTTTGAGAGATTTAACACAGAAAATGGCATTGTGAATATTGCTTTCAGCTGGGAATGGTGCTCAGTTTCCTTGATTCTTTACCTTGTGTGTTCTGGAAGAAATGGTAAATGACGAGAAGGCCCAATATTACAAAATTTGTAGGTGATAATCTTTACTCAAACTTTACAGCAGGTGTAGAATGATTAAACACAGTTGTAGGATGGGGAGCTGGGATGTGAGGTGGGAGAGGAATTTGCCCTAAACCCCTGTTGTTATTTTCTGGATAACAAAGTGCTGTGAATGTGTGGTACTGATCTGTAGCAGGCGCTTAAATTGCCTAGTGTGCTTTATTTTTAATTGTTAGGATGAGGGAACTGCTAATCTGCGTGGGATATTTTTTCCCCAATTAAATTTATGGATTGCACTGGATAAGGTTTGATTTACCTGCTGGATTAAGAATTAAGCATCGATTTATATGTAAAACTGTGCTTGTAAGTGGGGCTGGGGGACATTTTAGTGACTCATGTCGATTGCTTGCTGGTTTTTTATATTTTGCTAAAACCTTTTGGCACAGCTGCAGTTTCCTACCTCTTTACAACCAAGTGGACAACAGCAAGCGCTTGAACACAGAGCTCTACTAATCTCTCCGATACATACAGGGAAAGCCCCAAGAGCAGAGCATTCAGAGCAGCCAGCTGCTAATTAAAAGTCAGCATGAGTGCGTTTGAACCGTCAAACAAGGTGCAGCATGCAACAGCGCAAACCAAAACTTGTGTCAGAAAACAAGGGAGGCAGTTTCAAAGGCAGCAATATCTGCCGCCTGCAGCACCCACTGGCTTTCCTCTCCCCTCCCACCTTTTCCCACATCAGCAACACAAGGTCAAGGGAGAAGGTGCTGGCCCGGCGGTTACGGCTGCTCCCTGTGCCCAGTCCAGCCTGTAACGATAAGCCGGCAGTGGGATGCTGCTGAGTGCAGGGAGGCTTCAAGACCGATTCATCCTCCCTTAAATCACAGAGCAGCCCCTTTTGCTAGAGACCCGCGTCAGTGCTGGACGTGGAGGAGGCACCTGGCGGTTCCTGGTTTGGCCCTGCCACCCCGCTCCTGGCTCCCTGGGGACACAGGGACATGTGGGGACATGAGGACTGACAACCAGGCAGACCCAGGAGCGCTCTTGAGCCTCTGCTATGCCCAGAAGGTAGGGCGTCTCTTTTACGTACCAAACCACCCCAGTTTTGCTCAGGGTTTTCTCTTTTCTCCTCTCCTTTTTAAGAAAGCACCCTAAAATCTTGAGGGTCCTGTGGTTTTTGTTGTAAAACCCATCGTTGAAGGTAGCCCCAGGTTTTCAAACCCGGGTCCTGCCCTTGCAGGTGGCCGCGTCGCCCCGTGTCCCTGCGGCGTGCAGGTGCCTTTCGGCTGCTGCCGGGGTGTCCCGTGCGCTGGGCCGGTGAGTGCGAGGCCTCACTGCTGTTGTCCTTTGGGCTCATTTTCAGCTTGTGTATGTAAACTATGTGGATATCCCAAGAAAAACATAGGACGAGGGAAAAAGATGAATAAATTTAAAATGACAGGAACAAAGCTTTACCAGAAGACTTGGGCTCATATTTCTTTTGATGACTTTTCAGTATGTGTACTATGTCTTTCATTGCAGCTACTGAGGTTTTTTTTGGGTGAAACACACCCCCTCACACACACAAAGGGCTATTTTTACTGTTCATGCTTTAAAGGTTTGGTTGTAAAGTATTGCTTTTGGAATGAAGACCGACAAAATGAAAAAGCTACTGTTTTATTGTTGTTGCAATAATTCAACTCGGCAGTCCCTTCCCGCTTTCTGGCTGTTCCCGCTATGTGAGGATGGTCTGTTCGTTGAGGATCGCTGTCTGTTGAGAAGGGCCAATGCTGGGAATGTGTGAGTCCGTCAGGGAGACAGGCACAAAGTATTTTCTTTGGATATGACGAGTACTGTGAGGAGTAGAAAAGCAGTTGTGTCTTGAGCGATCTTCCAAATGAAAATAAGATGGAATGAAAACCTGTAGAGCAGGTGCTGAGAGAGATATCCCTGCTAGCTACCCGGGTGGTGTGAGATGAGCACGTTGGGGTTTTCTTTGTTTGGTTTAAATAAAGACAGCTTTGGTAGGACACGTGTAGACTCTCTCAGACACTGTGGTTTTGCAGAGAATTTGGCTTCTTTTCCCCATTAAGTCACTTAGGCTGCATGTTGTTTGGATGGAATTGAATCAGCTGGGTTGCAGTGGACAAAGTAACTGTAATTAAATTAAAACTAGGAATAAACCAAAAAAACTTTACATGCAGAATCCAGAACTTGAGAAAACAAGAAAACAAGGACAAACCTTCCCTCAAAAGAAAAGCCCATCTTCTGCATGTGCCCTGTTTCCTGATTTTTGTATCCATTTTCCTCCTGTTTTATCCCCAGCATAAGGAACAGCATCTCCAAACGGTTGGTGCGCATTGCAGAGTGCGTAGTCTCTGAACAGTAGCAGAGCTAAGAGCACTTTTCTGGATGCTCAGGTTCCTCAGTGAGACTTTGTTATATACATGGATGCTTGGTCAGGCCTTACCCAATTACCTCTTTTTTTCACGTGACTTGTACTGTGTACTCCCTGTGTACTGCAAACAAGGCTTAGAGAAAGTCAAGGGAGTCGCACATCTGGCTCACAGGGGCTATTCTGTTGCATTTCTGCTGACGGTAAATGAAAACAAAATGGGAGGTTGAGTAATTCATCTTGTTTTGTATTTTTTTTTTTATGTGTGTGTTTGGGATGAGCTGAAGCTGGCATCCTAGCTTGTACACCAGAAGTGTTTTCAGTGTGAGCTACGCTGGTGTAGAGTGCTTTGGACTTTTAAGACTGTTTCTACCTCTTCCATCTATCTGTCATCAGTCTCACCAGTATTAAAGTCTTGGCTGCCATACAGGAATCCAGACTTTGCAAGCTTGCAGATATTTTCTCAAATGCCTGTAATCAGGATTTATATGGGCACTTCATCCCGGCAAACTGGAAACTGTTAAATATTAAGGCAGCCTGGCGTGCTCCAAAAGCCTTTTTAATCCTAGTGGTTCCCATTTGTGTAGGTTACCGGTCACAATCTCTCTCTGCTCTGGTGCAAAAAGGGCCATTCTGGGTTTTCTTTGTATCTTGTTGTGGAAGGGTTTTGCTTAATCAGTATAGTGACGAAGAACTTGACCTTGGTGGCGAATTGCAGAAGCAATCTCTTGATGATTCCTTAGAGATCTTTTGGCAGGAAGTTTGTACAGTTTTCCTTACCTATTGCTTGAATCCTAATGAGTTAAACAGTCTTTTTGGTTGTTTTTTCCCCTTTGTGCAGATGCAGTGGCAGAACGTAGAACATGTTGGCGACCAGAGTCCTTATGTCACCTCAGTGATTCTCCACATTAAACAGAACGTCCCCATCATCCGTGACAATCTGGCCTCCACGAGAAAGTATTTCACTCAGTTCTGTATAAAATTTGCAAAGTAAGTTACCAATGTGGCACAGAGTTTCTCGGGGTCTCTGGTTCTCACTCCTCTGTTTGTACGTGATGGTCTGTTTGCCTTTAGTGTGCAGCGCCAGCGGCACTCGGTGTCTGGGTGAAGACCCTCTCCATCCCAGGAGGGCACAGAGGGAGGTGGAATAGGGCAGCAAACACCAGCAGCTGCTGGCAAGGTTAAAAGATACTTTGATTTCTTGTCTCAAGTTTCCTGCTGCGGCAGATTTTCTCAGACGTTTGTATTGATTAGTTCCTTTTCACGTGCCTAAACCATCCCATAAAATACTGTGATGATCGCTGTCCACTGTTTGCCAAGTACAGAAGGTTTGGGAGTTGGACGTCTAAAAACGGCTTTGAATGTCTGAATGCAGACACAACTCTTGCTATGGGAACCTACTTTCCTTCTAGTGATAAGAGGCTGCGGTGCTTCCAGGTACTGAGAAATTTGGTGCATCATTTGCCTCAAAATAACTTTTATAATAGCTATAGCACTGTAAGGAGGGCATGTGTGATGAGTATATTCTACCTTCACAGCTACTTTTCTGTGCACAAATAGTTCCATAAGGGAGGGGAAATACACATTCAGATTTAGGGGGATATGATGAGCATCTTCCTGGCAAGTCACTTAATGTGGGACAGCATGAAAGAACTGGAAGGTGAGACACAAATTCCCCTTGCCTCTGGATTCAGGGTTGAGGGTGCAGCTCTCCAGCATCTCTTGGACATCCCAACTTTGAAGCTATGTTTCTGAAACAAAAATTCAGTTCTTTGTGAAGATACTTTGAACTCTTCCCTGCTTGCCTGTGGCCAGCTGAGCTTTGCATGCCAATGCCCCAAGAAAAACCCTCAGGAGGACTCTGCCAGTTATAGCTGCTGCTTTTGGTGTTGCATGTGACTGTGCTGGTAGACTTGGGAGCGGTACCATGCATATCATGTGTCACTCTAAAATACCTTAACGTTTCATTCATCTGTAGTAAGCTAATCATCCTGAAATAAACTGTATGGCCTGGCAGTTACTGTGTGGGTTTGCGACCAGAGCTTCAGGTCCTGCTTCATCAGGGAAGGATGCAGCAGGCTCTCCCGAGAACCATTAGCTTTTGCAGCAGGGACGCTGGCCTGAGAGTTTCATCTCAGGGTACTCATTAGTTTGCATTAAGGAGCAGTTACTGATAAGTCATATTATGACGTTGCCCATAATCACTGTTTGAAATGCTGTCTCAGTGAAAATTTATTACACTTCAGCGTTCTGTGTGGTTACGCTTGAATTTTATATCGCTAACATGGTGATAAATAAAAATCTCCATTTACTCAGCTGTTCACAGCACACTCTTAATACCTCAGCTTAGCTGCCTCCCTTTTAACTTTATTGCTAAGCACATACCAAGTAAACTCCGGATAAAATACCCAGCTCTCACATTTGAGAAAAGTTCACATCTAAGCTGAGTGCCTTCGTCACAGCTTGTTCCATAGTAGAGCGCAGAGACCTGCAAAACTACCGCTCCACTTCAAAACCGTTTTCACACAACTACAGCTCTGATCTGCAGCACATTAAACTTAGGACACAGTCCTGAATTCACTGCGCCGTGAGTCAGGTGTAGAACTGAAAATTTGGTTCCTGAAGTTTGTTTTTGCTGGACTGTATTTAGAGTCCTTCCGTACAACTTGGTTTTAAGGAGAACTAGCCCAGTGGTAAGGGTGGACTGACCTACTTAAAATGCTTATGACATTTAAATGCATGCAAACATTTGTATTTTTGAAGCTCTGAATTCTTACGGAATATGCTGACCTGCCTAATATAAATACCTGGTCTTTTGTGTGCTCCACAATGCTGAAAATCCTTTTAACAGGCATTGTGCTTCTCCGTATGTTAATGCCTGTGTCTTTTTGAACTGCCAGCCACTTCTCAGCTCTAATGGATTGTATAAAGCACTCGTGTTGAGTTACAGGACCACAGGGGAGAAGGCATCTAAAGTCACTAAATTTAAAACCAAGGGATCTGAGCCAAGTCTGGAAGAAGAAAAATGGCCATCAGAAATTGCATCAATCCTCTAACTTAATTTGTCATTTTTGCTTTGTTTTGACCAATATGCAACCCTCACTCCCTTGAAATAGTGAGAAGCAGCCGGCTTTCCAGGAGGCACTCGCAGGCAGGGTGAGGGGCTCTGTTCTCACTGCACCTCGGTCCTTATCCTTTGAAACCAAAAACCGCAGCGGTGAAGCCGTGGCTGCTACGCTGGGATGTGTTTGGGAAGTCTGTGACCTGACCTCAATGAGGAAGAGATTAGAACAGAGAGACAGGGAAAACAAACAGCTCTCCCCCTCGCCAGAAAAGTGCCGTGTCCATCACGAACAGTCAAGCGTGGCGGGTAACGGCAGCAGGCATCCTCCCAGTTGCTCCAGCCTTCGCATCGTGCTTTTAGTGAGAGGAGTTAGGTGGAAGAAGATTGTGATGAGGAGGCTCCTGGAGGTTTTGAAGCAGTGGCTGAGCTAAGCCTGGGCGAGCCTGCAAGGGCTGGCCACCGCCTCAGAGGGTGGCATAAAGGAAAACCCTTCTCAGCTGCAGTGACTCAGTGACACCAGGATGCTTTGAATGATGTCCTGTAGTAGCTCATCTCCTGTCAGACAGACAGACTGTGGTTGCATCTCTGTCTGCCTTGCTTAGCAAGGCATTGTGTTTGATGCATCATCGGTGCAGGGGATTAGGAAAACACAGGCTTTGGCAGAGCCACTCCCGTTGGATGGGCGCCTCTCAGATGCTGTGGTTTCTGTGCTTTAGGTTCCTAATCTGTCTTGCGCTGCTTTATTTTTACACTGGGGACTTGTCTGCTTCTATGGAGGGTTTGCTGGATTCAGTTTTATAGCTAAAACTGTACATGAATTCTGGCATCCAGTCTAGCTCTGTGGATGTGCAGGGAGTAAAAGCGTTTAGAGTACAAAACCGCGTGCAGAGCATTACCATTGAATACGCACATATTATTCACATCAGGATCGCCTGCTGTATGCTAAGAGAGCCAAGCGTTGAGTCCAGCCTAGGCAAGAGACTCAAGTGGATTTTTCATTTAAGTGCAATTGCTCTTGATCGTCTCTGCTAGTCCAGAAAAAAAAAAAGAGAAAAATACCAGAGCAGCCCTTGGATCTTACGGTTTGTCTTGTCTGTCCTGCTGGAGTTGAGAAGCTGTTTCCAATAAGGCAGCATGAAATAACAGGCATGTGAGGATGGAAGGTTGCTTTACTCTTCTGCATTGATTGTGGGTGGCCATCCTAAGGGGCCTGGGAATTGTTTCATGCAAGACAGAATGCTGTCTATGGGAGATCATGTGGTTATATAGAGAAGAAGATTTAAAAAAAGAGGGGAGGGGGTCCTTTGGCTGCCGGTCTGCCACCCTGCAGAAAGAAAGGCTTGCCCTGTTCCTCATACACAACGTGAGCTCCGTGCCTGACCTTGCAGAGGGAGGGAGAGTTGGACCTACGTGCAAGATCAAAAGTACAATTAATCTCTTGCACTCTTCTGCTTGTAGCAAGCTGCTGCATCCAGAGCTGCTACCGAATGATCATTTTATAGGATCACCTAAGCTCCAGCTGTGCTTGGCACTCTCTAATTGCCCTCTGGAATTAGTTATACACCTGAAAAATGGACTTCTAAAACAGATAAGTTACATCTCTGCTGTAATGCTTTTGTGCAACAGGAGACAGCGCTTGTTTTCCTCCTCTTACTTATATTTTGTTGCCAAGGTTGTTTCTCTGGTGGCCAAATTCAAAGCTGTTTGGGGCAGCCCAGTAGCTGGTTCTCAATAGTAGTTTGAAGTTGTTCTCCTTGACGCCTCTCCAGGAAAAGATGATTCACTGACAGAGGTCGTGGCCGTGGCCGAGGGAAGGGGAAGGGAAGGAGCCTTCACTTGGAAGGACTCTTCCTTGAACCATTTCTTTCTATTTGCTCAGCAGCTTGGCATGCTCTGTGCCTAAGTTATGCTTTTGTCATATTTCCATGAGAAAGGGCGAAAAATAAATGTCCTGACTTGGAAAACAGGTGGCAGGACAAACAAGATGCTGTCCATGCTCCTTGCTTCATGGGAAGGAAACAAATGGCTTGACAGATGCAAAGGGGAAACCACACTGAATTTAGATCATCACTGTAAACGGCGCCTCGTTCCAAAAGGACAGAAAACAGACCGACGTACATGAACTTAGGACAGAGCCGTTAAAATCTAAGACCTGCCACCAGGTCATGGACAAGGTCCTGGAAACATGCCCTTTATAGGCATTCAGCCAACGTGTGAAAGAATAAGAGTACATTAAGAACAAGGCAGCAAAAGGAAGAGTATGAGTGGCGCGGTCCTGACAGATGGAGTTTGTGTTGGTCACGCTGGCCCCTCTCCTTGCATTCAGCTCCTGAGTTTTCCTGGTGCTGCACCTTGGTAGAGTAGGTGGGGCAGGAGCTTGTCTTGCAGGTGCTCAGCCAGTGCTTTTGCTAGAACGGAGCATCTGCTTCCTCACTGAAGAATTGAAACTACCACAAAGTCTAAAATCAAGAAGCAAAAAGCTAAAACCAGAGCTGATGCTCTGGAGTACATTGTCCAAGGTGGCAAATATTGGGCTTCCATCCTTGCCAAATTCTCCCGGGTTAAGTGTATGTGCCTTAGTCATTTTTCTGAGTCTGAAGTCCACGTTAGTAAAATAGGGTAACAGTGTTTTCCTTTTCACAAAACTTTTTCTTGTCTTGATTGTGTTGGCCAGAAGCTTTCTGGAAGAGTGCCTTTCTATGTGAGTGTCCAGGGCACAGCAGACCTCCAGCCTTGGCTGGACTTCAAGTTCAGTGTGTAATATGCATGTTATGGAATTACTTGTATGCAGTAAAATGTAGGTTCTGGATACAATCAAGATACTTCCACTCCGTGAATAGCTATGCTAATCCTGGCATGTTGCTGTTTTTATTACGTACAACAGTTTGTTTGCTTGTTCTTGGCCTTGTACTGTAATATTTCATATATAGTTTGTAGCAATTTATTTACATAGAGTATGTGTGCAACTTCTCAATTAACTTAGAGATCAGTACGGATTAAAGCAAAAGAATTGTACCTAGGGTTGGTTTGCTTGTTATTTGGTATACTTAACGTGGCTGGAGTCAGCTTGAGAACCAGGCACTTACAGTGTCTTTGTGGAAAGCCATCCTGGTTTGGTTTTGCATGCTTTGTTATCACAGAAGACTGTATGACTCCAAATACTCACATGTAATTGTGTCATTTTCTTTCTCTTCTCTGCAGCTCCTTCATTCCCAAGTTCATTAACCATCTCTTCAAGTGCAAACCTATTAGCATGGTGGGCGCAGAACAGGTAAGAAAAAGTAATTGCATTGGCTGTAATATTTCATCACTTTTGGGTTCAAGAAGTTGAAGCAGTTTTTGTTAAAAAGGGGCAGAGAGCTGAGTTCCGTGTCCTGAACTCTGGTACAGGTGGGGCAACGGGAATACATGCTGGTACAGGGCAGAGTGGAAGCAGGTTTATAGTGATCCTGCCGCAGTTGGACCTGTCCTGGGCACCTTCCCAAGCAGGGGAGCTCTCGCTTTGCCAGCCAAAGTAACAGCAGCACAGGAACAACAAGCTTCTTGCGCACCTCTCTAAGGTGTCGTGATGAGATTGTCTTCCGTGTGCTCATGCAAAGGAAAGAATGTTGCTCGTGGCAGAAACTATTGCAAGAAGCTCCCATGTCCTTCTCGGAAAGACTTGTTTTTCTGTCCCGTCCTTTTCACAAAATAGGTCATCGCTCAATCTCCCTCTGCTGCTACTGTGCCTCCTCCTGGGGTTAAACTCAAGACTATTGCTTTTCTGCTCCGAAGAGCTGGGGCATGGTCAACCCGTAGTTGACAACAGGAAAAACTTTACCAAAAAGCCAACCTCCCCAACCCAAAACCCCAGGTGTCCAGGCAGTTTCTCAGCTCAGGTAGTTTAAACACTGAGACTTTTTTTTTTTTTTTGCAATCTTTGAACATAAACCACACACAGTGCTTGGTCTCACATGACAACGTGTATGCCAAGAGCAGGTTGGTTCCTACGCATTCCCCGCATGGGCCCAGTGACGGCGGTGCTCGGTGCCACATGCCCGCGGTGATGGCATGCCTAAAGACAGGACAGTTTCTTTCCTGCATAAATACCTTCCACGCCTCGCTTCCTCAGGCATTGCAAACAGACATCACAACACTGCTGCGTGGTGGGGGAGAGCTGTCTCCACCTCTGTGACTCAGTATCTGAGATCCAGGGAAGTGGCGACCCATCACCTGGGGCTCAGGACTCCCCAGCTTTCTCCCAAGAACCTGCCTCCCTGTTGCGCTTCGAGAGCTGTAGATACTGCAAGATGGTGAGACGTCATCTCGGGGAAGAAAGGACGCTGAATTATTGCCACTTGTATTAACGTACACATTTCTGTTGAAATGCTGCCCCTTGACAGGAGCCCCTGCCCCCACGTTGCACATGGGCGGGCAGCGCAGGGCGTTTATTACCTTGAGACCGTGGGTACAGCTGCAGGGCTGTGACACCCCATCTCCCACCCCTGCCTGTGGGCTGGGACCCCGCTACTCTGCAAGGGTGAGGTTTGGATGAGGCAGGCTTTCAGCTGTCCCCTGCACATACAGCTGCTCCCCTGTGGGCTGAGTTTAAAAAAAAAAAAAAAAAAAAGGCAAAATCATCCCTAATGGGACTGCTGTGAACTTCAAATCAGTGCCTTAAAAGCTTGTTGGGTTTTAGCATCAAAGATGGGTTCTGAGCAGTGTGTCTGTGCAAAATGAAACAGGACCTTTACATCAAAACCTCCCTCTTCCTTAATGGAAAGCAAACGAGTGAAGCATGGATCGTGCTCCTCTTGTGCGATGAGCAATAACCTGAGAGTGATTAAACGAAGTCTTTTTTTAAATAAGTGTCTAAAGTGATTAACGGGTTGCCAGCAGTGGGCTTGTGTCTAATGTTAAAAGGTTTTAATATTACTGTATTGGAATAACAGGCCCAATTTGGTTCTTTAAAGCAGACCGGGAAGGTTTTTATTAGCCCGATTCACAGTGAATATATCTCATTATAAGTGGGACATACCTTCCTGGGGTTAGATGTACAGAGGTCTTCAGAAGCTGGTCTCCTCTGTCTCTGCAGCACGTAGGTCCTCAGTTGCCGTAGCATCTTTTGAGCACCCCCCTGGTCACCCACTAGCATTTTTCCACACCGGTTTCTCTCCCCTGGTGCAAATGTTGCTGTGGAATATGCTTTCCCGGCCTTCCCGGTCCTAAACACAGCTTTTCCTGCTGTTTGCTAATAATCACGTTTGAAATCTGGACACTAGGGCAGTATTTACAGAGGGATTCAGAGTGGGGAACGAGACCGATGGGGTTTCACTTTCTGTGGGTTTGTGTCTCTGACTTAACAGCAATTCTCCAATTTGGCAGTGAGTTAGCAATGCTGGGGACCTGGAATGGATAACGGGGGGAAGTAGGGTGAGGGGACGGAGCCTGCGAGTGCTGCGTCTGTGGGAAAGGCTGCAGAGTGTGCAAAACTCCTGTTAGACGTGAGAGGGTGTATGTGGGAAAGATGTGAATTCCCCAACCGTGGAAAAATCTTCCATCTATGGGATCCTCGCAGACACGCAGGAATCCAGCTATGACAGCCTGAGCCGACACCAGGCTCCAGCAGCTCCGGGGTGCACAGAGCTGCTCGTTTGTGCTGTGGTTTCCTGACTTCCCAGGATGAGATTGATGGCATGGGTTCATCTCATGCAAACCATGAAACAGGCAGCACACAGCAATGATACGCTGCCGCAGATAACAGGGTCCAGATTTGAACTGGCGTGACCTTCCCCCCTCCTCCTCGGCTCACTCCTTTGTATTTGAACGGAGTTCCCACGTGTGCTGGAAGCTCTACCGTAAATGTTCATATTGTTCGCGGTGACTGCTGGGGGTTCTGCGGTGCCCATAACGTTGTGTGTTGCTCCAGAATGAGCTTCCACCTGCTCCTCAGAGCCCTTTTGCAGGAAATGCACGGGGTGTGCCAACAGCCCAGCGGGTTTTCACACTCACTGCTATATAAATAAATTGTGCTCTTCTTCATCTAGTTTGATTTCAGGTTTCTGTCCTTCCTTGGTCTTGTCTCACCTCTTTAAACATACCTTGTGCAATCAGAAGAGTGCGGTATTTGGGGTAATTTTGCTCTAAGAAACCCTAACCCGCAGCATTTTGTCATCAGATAGTGCTTGTCTGCCCTTGCTGAATTTCGTGGCTGCTGCTTGCTGCTTATTTAGCCGCTGGTCTAGTAAAAACCAGCATACAGGCTGTGAGTTTGTGTGCCGCTGAGCACAGGATATTGAGCAGTTCTCAATGTAGCTGTATTGTGTTGCGGTTTTCTTTTTAAAGAAAAAAAAAAAAATCAGCATGGGGTTGAGTAAATGCAGAAAACCTGACGCAATGGGTGGTTGGGTGCAGGAGGAAGCATGGTGTTAATTCATTTGACCTCAGTATCTAAATAATGATACAGCTACAGGTAATCGAGATTGTTTCATTTTATACTGTCAAGGGGAAGAGGACTGGAAATTCATGCCTTATGTGCCAGATGTTGAGCTGCCATAAGTCATTTCAAGTCAGCAGAGCAGTGCTCTGTTAAAATCAACAAACGGTGCTGATATGTAGCCACGGGTGATCGTGTCTCCTTGAAGTCTCATTACATGGGTCAGTCCCTCCTGTTCCTGCAGCCCAATTACCAGGACTTTTTCCAACGTGGGAAGTGTTAAACTTTTAAGCATGTTGGATTATAGCAGCTAACGGAGCTTGATAAAAGGGACTTGAGTAACAGGGTGTGATTAACTATTGCAGCTGCTCCTGGACACGCACTCCCTGAAGATGGTTCTCCTGGATCTGCCCTCCATTGGGTCCCAAGTGGTGAGGAAGGCTCCTGCCAGCTACACGAAGATAGTGGTGAAAGGCATGACTCGGGCTGAAATGATCCTGAAGGTAACTCAAGACTTTTGATAACCTGCCAGCCAGACTGCTGGACTGGGAATCGGAGCGAGCGAATTCCAGGGGGCCCTTCCTTTGAACGCGGCAATCTGCAATTGCACGTGAACGTATGCGAGCTTGTTGGGGTGCACCGCCAGCTGTTCTACAGAGCTGGCTCATCGGCCTGGGTTTTGCCCCCATGCTCTTTTCACATCGCATTTGAGTTTTCATCCTCATTTTTCAAGGTAACCGAGGGCTCAAGTTCTGCTTACTAGGAGAGCTGGGGCACCAGATTCCCTCAGGAGCTTGTGAAAATCAGAGCTAGCATCCGTAAGTGTCTGCTGCAGGGCAAACCCTCCAGTTCAGGTTACTCCAGGCCTTTGTGCAGACTCCATCGCGCAGGGGAGCCAAGCCGTGCTTGAGTCACCTGTTTACTGTCTAGTGTAACAGCCAGTGCAAACATGTCTGGGTTACTGTATTCACCAGAGTCCTTTTTCATTTTCCAGACCTGGTGCCTGGAAAATGACCCAAAAGCAGTGCGTTGTCTTCATAAAAAGTAACAAGCAAAGCAATCTCCCCTTCCCCCCTGTTGCTGGAGGAAGAAGTTAGGTTTGATCCCAGGAGAAGCCATAGGAGCTGTGCAGTTGGACCCTCCCGGGCGATGGGATTGTCCCCTGCTCACCGTGAAGATGTTCCTTTGAGTGAATTAGTGGGGCCAGGCAGGACAGGCAGCTGCCAGCCAGAGCCTCTTGTGAACCACAGCCAAGGCAAGGAATGGGTGCAGAGCCCAGGCTCTCTCCGTGTTTGCGGGCTGCTCAGTGTGGCTTTGCTCCCATGCCCAAAGCAGTGTCACAGCTGAGTTTGCATTCTGAGTTCAGAAATCAGTTCTGCAATTCCGTGCTTTCAGGGTAAGGTGACAGAGATGTTAGTGGACATGTTAAAGCAAGTCTAAATTTTCTTAGAAATTACCTGAAGGAAAAATACCCTGGTACTGCTAACAGAGGAGCAGGGAAGATTGGTGCCCGTTGCGTACAGAAACAGGTCTTTCCTTGGAGCTTATACATGAATCGGAAAAGTCATGGAGTTAACTTGTCTACCTTTAACATCACATTGGCTTCATTGGGATTGAGATGAAAGCAGTATAGGAAGTGCCTCGGGCCGGGAGCGCAGGCTGCGGAGTACTGCTGGTCCGTAGGATGCGGAGTAGCAGTGTGAGTGCTTTTTCAGACATCCCGAGCTTGCCCTGCTGCTGTGTAAAGCACTTCTGCTGGCTGCGAGCGAGGGCTCGGTGTCACCGTAACCACTAATTAAACAGCAACACGCTCATGGCGTTCAGCGCTCCGCAGAGCTCTTTTACAAAAGGATGCCTGTGTAATCAGTGGGTGATGGGGCTGAATGCTTGGCTGGGGCAGGTTTGTTCATCGTAGTGGCTGAGTAGATCACCCTGAGCCTAGGTAACCCACACACAGCGTCTGGGGCTGGTGTCAGCACCCATCTCTGGGGTTGGGAGAGAAAGAAAAGCTCTTGGAAGTGCCTGCTCCCACTGGACCACCACTATTTCTGTAGGAAGGTTTTCTTGCAGGAGCCCAGAGCTGACCGATAATCTCTGGCAGTTGTGTTTGCCTTGTGGGTTGTCTCTTTTTATCAGCGCTCAGACTCTCTCTGCTGTTTCCAAATTGTACATTAAAGAGTTTTTTCCCTAAGAACTACTTCACCCCATCAGAAGCACAGGCCAATACACTCCTCCTCGGCATTTTCAGGGCTCTCCTGCCTAGTACTGAGATGGCTCAGAAGCAATGCCTCTGTTGCGTACAACAATACCGCCATACAGGAGCGTGCCCAGCTAATTCGGTAGGAGCATCACTGAGCCCGTAGATGGCACAGACAAATTCATTCAGCTGAGCTCTACAAAGCACAGATGCAAGCGGGGAGGAGGGCATCAGGGTGCGCACGTCCCGCAGAGCTGTTTCCTTTCTCCTCTGGCTCTGCTGTCTGAAGTTCCAGCTTTTCATCTTGGCAGAAGATTTTTACAAGGGTTGTAAATTAAGGATTTATAAGTGTATACATGGCTATGATGTTTCATTGGTCTGAAGTGCAGGAAAAGAAAGAAATGTCTCGGTGACAGAATACAGTGTGGGGTGAGCTGGGTCAGTGGAAACATATGGAAATGTTTTCAGAGACAGGGAAGAGTCTGGCCCTGTGCTGTTTCTGCCCTGCGTGTGCACACACACACACAGACACACGCTCTCTTTCCCAGAAGGATGGGTTTGCTGCCCAGCATTATCAAAAATGTGTTCTCACAGTGGAGCTCACTGCTTATGTAAGGAAAATACAACGAGTTGTACAATCATCTTTCCAGCTGCAAGGCTATTTTAATTTTTTTTCCTGACTTGACCATCACTGGGACTAAGAGTGCAGAAGTGAGCTCCGGGGCAGCAGTCAGCAGGGGGTTCGCATGCAGCATCCCGGTCTCTCCAGAGAAGCGTACAAGAGGAGCTGCACCTGAAGGACAGAGCGGCTTCATGTGGCACCGCTCACCCGTTGAGTTTCGTGTCAAAAGCAGGACTGCAAAGCAGATTGCTGTGACCCACACCGTCCTGGGGACAGAGGGAGCAACTGCAGAGTGTTGTCGGATTCCCCTGCAACACACTGTTTCTGCTCTGGGCAGGAGCAAGCAAGAGGGTTTCTACATGTTACCACCACCAGCGCTGCCTTTCTCCCCCAAGCAACTCCCCAGCTAGTCTCCCCCCATGCAACAAGATAAAATCTTGAGCTTTGCCAGTATGCCGGTGCCTGCCAGCCCACAGGCGTACAGACAAAGTCCTGTGGCTCTTTGAAACACGATACGCAGCCCTGTGGGTCCGAGCACCGCTGCTGTGCGGAAAGAGACCCCTTATTTCACTCACATTTACCTCTCAGTTACTAGCAGCACGTACAGCCTCTTTCTTCTTCCTTAAGCATTTTATTTTAGAAGCCAGTCCTGCTGTCACCCGTGTGCTTGAGTTGACTGGGCACTGGCTTGAACTCCTAGAATTTGTCTGATCTCTCTTTTTTCCTGTCTTGGCAGGTGGTTATGGCTCCGCATGAGCCCCCGGTTGTGTTTGTCGACAATTACATCAAGCTCCTTGCTGACTGCAGCACCGACACTTTCCAGAAGATACTAGATATGAAGGTTAGAACCAGTCCCACAGACTCTCTGCTCGTGCACTAGCACTGCGTTGAGATTGTCAGTGACTTTTTTTTCCAGCAGAAATATAGAGGGGTTTGGAAGTGGGAAAAGCACTCTAAGGCAAGCGTATCCTCTGTACTCTGAAAGCGTGTAGAGTTGCTACCAAAGAATAGCTTTTTAGTTCACTTTGCATGCTCATACCTGCTCCAGCTCCCAGGGCTGAGCTCAGTTGCCTCCAGAGGTCTACAAACAGCTCTTGGTGGGTGAACAAAAGGTTGAGGTTTGAAACGGGCTCTCCTGCAGCTATCCTCCTGCACAGCTGCTCCCAGATCAATGAAGTCTAACTGGCTCGCTTCGCTGTTCTCTTTGCTTCCGCAGGGCCTGAAGAGAAGCGAGCAAAGCAGCATGCTGGACCTCTTCCGCCAGCGCCTCCCGGCTCCCCCCTCCGGAGTGGAGAACGCCGGCTCCCTCTCGCTGAGCGCTCCTACGCCCGAGCAGGAGTCCTCTCGGATACGGAAACTGGAGAAACTCATCAAAAAAAGACTCTAAGTGAGCAGAAGGAAACTCCGTTGCTCGGGACTAGCTGCGGTGACTGAGAGCAGAGCTCGTCAGACTTAAGATTTACAGTATGCTGCTGAAAAATCCGTGTCCCATCACTCCCATGCCCTGTGATCTCTTAACTGTCGAATACCGTGGCGCTGCATCCGCATTCAGACCAAGGGAGAATCCGACCGGGGGGTTTGCCCGTAGACAGCTTAGCAGAAGTGAAACCCAGGACATTGCTGGGTCCTCGTGGTGGAGAAAATAGAGGTATCTGGAATTCAGCAGTTACGAGAATGGTTTAGGTGGATTCAGAGAATATCTGGCTGGGATACGCTTGGTGTCCCACTCCTCAGCCTGGCTGAGCTGTCCTGCTGCAGCACTGAGGATTTTGCCTGAGTTTGGTGTTACTGCTCACTCCCTATTGCAGAGCTGTTCCTCTGTATCTTTATTTACTGGGGGGGACCCAACCCCAAACCATCACCACCACCAAAAAACCCCAAACTCTTAAACAGCTGGGATCCAGGCGTCTGCAGCTCCACTGAATTAATGAGATGCCCAGGAGAGAGCCCCAAAGCAGATTTCTCCCCTGCTCCTGGGACAGGCGTGCATAAACCACCAGTAAACCGTCAAGGCAGATCCTTTTCAGAACAGGAGTAAAGGGCTGAATTAATTCCTTCCGCACCTTGGCAAACCTGCCAACAAGCCGGCAGCCTCGGTCGCTGTTACAGCTTAAAGGCCAAACTGGGCATCTGCGGAGCCCATCTCCAGCTGCTTGTTACTTCTCTCGCATGTGCTGGACTTGCCCGCTGTCCCTGATGGGAGTTCCCGTACCGCATCTCGCCCTCTCTCCACCAAGGGCCATTCAAGGAGCAAGCATCAAACAGCACCAGCCCCCTGTTCTGGTGCCAGCTGGCATGTCCCACGCAGGGGTGTACCCCTTCGGCACCTTCGCTGCCCTGCAAGGAGAGATGCTGGAAATGTTGGCTTTAACGGGGAGTCTGGGCCTTTTCCTGGGACGGGATGCTTAAGGCAGCCTCAGACTTTGAGGGCCTTCCTCTCCTCCTCCTCCGAGCTTCAGCTTGCAGCAGTGCAGAGAGGAGGAGAACCAGAGGTGAAATATTTAGGATAACTGAGCCACAAAACCAGCGTGGAGCGGGGTTGGGGTTGGTGGGTGCCTGTGCCCTGCCCGTTGTGTGAGCTTCCCTAAGGCTTCCCCAAGGAGTCTCAGTGCAGGGAGACATCGCCTCGTCATTACCAACGCTGGATTTCTTCCCAAACTCCTCTGTACCCATTTTTTGGGGGACTTCGAAGGCATATGCCCAACCGTGAACGATTGAATCCCATGTGGGTTTAGGGGCAGATCAACCAGTTGTGCCTGCTTTATTTTAACTCAAGCTTCACTTGTATGTGCAGGAAGAAGTCCTGTACCAGTTTGGCAGGTGAGGAGCTATCGCACTGTCACATGCCTTCCTGAGAGGGTCATGCTCCCCACCAGGCCAAGTTTGGGCCTTAGGACTGTATTTATTAGGGGCTGCGCTCGCTAGGGATTATAGTACCCACTGCTGCACATCTGGGGAGGGGGGATCAGACACGCTCCAGGAAAATGAGCTCTGGCCACCCAAACCCAGAGCTTCCCTGGGACCAGGGAGGGAGGAGGTGAAATGAGAAATCCCCGCGTGAGGCAGAGCCTGGGCTCACGCTGTGTCTGCCTCTTCGTGCTTCAGCGCTGTCCCCTCGCGGGTGCAGCGGGGCTGCGTGTTCACAGGGGCGCTGGCTGCGCCCCATCCCTCTCCTCAGCCCCGTGGTTGTGGGAGGGCAAATTTGGTGCCTGGCTTGGTAAAATCCCGTCCTCCCTTTGCACAGCCGGCAGGTCAGCCTGCGCTTGAACAGGCAGGAGTTGATCACAGGATTTGAGCGGAAAGAATAAACCCACAGAGACGAAGTCCTCCCTGGTCAGGTTTTCTAACGCTGCTCAGCCCGATCCGCTGGTGCAGCAAGGTGTGCATTAACAGGTACGCTAACTCCAACTCTTCAGGATGTATTTTCAGGGGTGCCCAGGCTTGGGCCCTGCCTGCGGGTGCTCAGCTGCAGAGCGCCGTAGCGGTGATGTCCATCGCAGAGCAGCCGTAACAACACTCGTGGGGAGGGACGGCAGTTTCTCGTCACTCCAGTTTTATAAATCTTCCTGAGTCCACTGCTGCTTCATTTGTTTCCTCGCCTGTTTTCACGTCGGGTGACGAAAGAAGGAACGGTGGTTGAAAGCACGTCGGGATTATGAACGGCCGTTCCCCAAGGAGAGATTATCTCAAGGTGCATGTGCAGGGTGGTTCGCACGTTATCAAATGCAATAGCCGGGGAGGAGGGAACATGGGGTTGCAGAGATTCATTATTCCCATGGGGGGATGAATAATTTATTTTAGATTAATTTTTCTTTGCTCTGTCTGTGGATGACTCTAACTAAATTACGAAGAGCTGCAGATGATGTTCAAGTTACCGTCTTGTGTCTTTCCCCGAAGGCTTCCCCTGTTTAATTCTCCGCATTTCATTCTGGAGATAAGAGGAAATAAAAGGAAAAATGAATTCTTAATTTCAGCCTTTGAAGAATGCTACAGGTCTGGGTGTTTGGGGTTCCACTTTTAGAGAGCAAGTCTGCATTTTTCTACTTCGGGTATAAGGGTTTTGTCACCCTGGCTCTTGAGTATTTATCAGATTTGGCACGTCTGTATGTGTATGTTAGTTGTTTGGGTTTACATCTCTGGGGAATAAAGATTGTGGGGAGGTGTTTCCTGTATAAAATGCCACTTTTTACGGTTTTTTGGCCGAGGTGTAATTCTGGCTGTATGTCAGAGCGTGACACTAAAATGAATTAAACGGTTACTGATGTTCATCTGCTGGGTGTTTTCTGTACAACTGCCATCAACAAACCCCAGCGGCCGGGACGGACCTCACCCAAAACACGCTGGAGCCAGGGCTCCGCGCTGTCCGTCTCCGTTGCTCTCTCCTGCAGCTTCTCTCTTTTCTGGCTTTTCCACCTTCTGCCGCTCCAGCAAGCAACTCTCCGCCGGCAGCATCTGCGTTCGCAGAAGCTCTCCGCACCGTGCAGGAAGTTCAGCAGAGCTGACCTTGCACTCCGAAATAATCGTATCGTTTCTGATTACTTTAACTACTGGAGAGATTTCTGAGAGATGCTAATTTTTCCTTTGAAATTAAGAGGTAATGCCTTTTTTCTGCACCATGCCTGACGTTGGAGGCGTTTCTTTCGCTTGGAGGATTAATGACTCATTTGCTTTTCGCTACCGCTCTGCCGGTCCTGCCCTCTCCGCCCTTGGGCAGGAGCAGCCTGCGCCGGGCAACGCGGGTGTTTATTTCTTTCACCAGATTTACAGCCGCGAGTTCCAGCATCAGAGCGACGATGTCCAAGTCTCCGCAAGACTTCTCTTGGCCGCAGCTGGGCGGGTGGCAGACGCGGGTGCTGTTCGGCAGCATCAGGCCACGGCTCTGCTGTGCTTAGGAAAAGGAGCTGAAGCGTTTGTCTTTGGGCTGTGTCAGAAGAGGCTTTGGCGGAAGGCGTTCCTCTGCACGCCTGCTCCGCTGTGGCCGGTTACGCCAGCTAGCGCTACCGTCACCCAAAATTTCTAGGTTAAAGCCTGTGTTTGTTCCCTTCTCTCAGCCAGAGCAGGTCCACTGGTCCCGAGCCGGAGTCTGGGTGGGATCCCGTGGGCTCGAGTACTTTGCCAGCCTCGCCTTTGGGAGCGCAGGGACGTCTGGGGGTGGCTGGGGCCTGGGGCTGGCGCTGCTCAGGGTGCTGGGGTGTTCCTGCTGGGAGCAGGGCGGGGGGTGCTCCCTGGGCCCTCGCCTCGCCCGGGATATGGGGTCACCAGGACCAAAGCACCCCGGTTTCACTGTGCCCCTGGGAAGTGGCGGTGCCCTCCCGTTCCCGGCGGGACACAGGGAGCCTGCGGGGCTGCCATCAGGGGCTGGAACCAGCGGGGAGGGGAGAAATCAGCCTTTGCCGCACGTGGAGCTTCCCGAAGCCCTGGGAAAACCTCGGCTTGTGGCTCGGCCGTTCACGAGGGCGGCGGCAGGGCTGTAAAAGTCTATCAAAACTCAGCAGCTTCAGCGCTGTGCCGTCAGCGTTCGTCCCTGCAGCCGAACTGCTCCCAGGGCTCCCGTCAATCCCACCGCTCGGAAGCATCGCTGTGAGCGTGACTCCCGTGCCTGGCAGGTTCCCGGTCCGCTCCCCGGGGAGCAGCCTAGCATTTCCCATCGTTTGGAAATAATTTTCCATCGTTATCAAATAACACGGGATCCTTCTGATTTGCTTCCCCCTGCCCGCAGCGACGGCCCCCCACCCCGCATCAATGTGCCTATTGTTTGGTTGCTGATTAAGCCCAGCATGCCCAGCCCGGTGGAAAGTCCTCTATGGAAGGAGGATCTTGATAAGATACTCGTATCTGCTCTGTCCCGGCTGTGCGCGGGCAGTTAAAAAGTAAACATGGACAAAGAGGGTGTGATGTACAGGCAGGGGAAAAGCTTTCCAATGCCATCAGGGATTGCACAGATCAGTACGGTTTCGAGACGGGCTTTCCAAGAGGGCAGAGTACACATGCCTTAAACACAGGGCCCCTGTATATGGTGGCTGTCAATAGTATTTTAGTTATCGAGTAGTTCAAATTCTGGTTAAACACTTCCTTTTCATCCTAGCAGGCGAATTTGCAGCTCTGGATGTTGGCGCTGCGGGAGATCCTCGGGCCTGAGCCCAGTGTGAGGCAGGGCGGGCAGCGGAGCCGCCGCGGCTGCTGAAACACCTCCATTTCACCTGCCAAGCCCAGAACCGAGAGCCTGGAAGGGCACAAAAAGAAAATTGTCATTTGCATCAAGCCAGGCCAGACAGAGCAGGAGGGGTTTTTTGCTAAAAAAAGAGCAGCAAGATTTCCAGAAGCCTGCGTGCAGCTTTGCTCATCACAGGCATGGCCGGCTGCAGCCTTGCACGGCTCCCCAGGCACCGAGGCCCCTCGTCCTCGTGTGCGGCCCCCGATCCCCGCGGGAGCAGCCGTGGGGACACCCGTGGCCCTCGGAGGTGGCTGCTGGGAGGTGCTACGGGGTCCCCACACACACAAAATTGCACTTACTCC